GGCAGGTAAGGTTCTTTCGTAACACCAATACTACTATGAACTTACCAAGGAAGTCGTACAAATTAACATAAGGTTCCAGACCGCAAGTGCCTGCTCCTCTGATAGACACGCGTGGTACAACTCCGCGCTTTTAGCTCATAAGCTTAAGCATCAACTGTTTTCGGCGCCTCTCCACTTGCCTGCAACAACCTGAAGTGTTCTTAGGGCCAAGGACCAGCAATAAAGCTTTACCTCGGCAATGCCGCCCAGCCGGCTACCGGTATTCGTGACTGTTACGAACTTACGCAGACCATGCCTTCCCTTGGTAAAGGAAAGGCATGTCGCCCATGGAGGCAGTTCGAGCATGGCATTACCCGTGCCCGCTTATTTACGGGGATTACCTGCGCTGTACTGACTGGTGTATTCTGCCGAGTCTCACCATCCAGGTAGCCCGCGCCCTGCTTACACTGGCACCCGTCCAGCAAGAGCAACATCAACAGCAGAAAGCAGTACGGTTGACCATTACATCTGAAGCGCTGACAGTCATAACGCCGTTTCTACAGCGGCTGGTCCCGGCAGCGGAGGAGCGCTTGCGAAACCAAGTCAACAAGGAGGTGTTGGGTGGTTTGGTTGAGAATGACAAGCCTCCTGAGATCCAACACGCAGAATATGTTGACCATGGTACACCGCTGCCACCCCTGGAGGACGTACCTCCCGAGCTTGCAGCTCAAGTGGTGGTCGCGATGATTGAAGCTGCTGGCGAGGACATGCCCCTGCCGCGCCCGCTTGCAGCCATAGCCATCCTGCTGCTGGGCTGCCCCGGAGCTGCCCAAAGGATGCCCCAGGCGCAGCTGCAACAGGCGCTAGCACACTCACTTGTGGGTCACGCCGATCTCCCAATGCCCGATTCAACGGCTGAGGCCATTTTGTCGGCCCGGTTGGCGGCCACTGGTGTCACGCCTGCTCGTGAGCTTGCACTGACACGGCAGCTGCGGCTGTGCGGTGCAAGTGCGTCCCACTCGCAGCGGTTGCTGATGGCCTTGCCTGCTAAGGAAAGCAAGGGCTTCGGGCTGGAGGAAGCAGAGTTCTTCCTGCGAGAGATGTACGATTGCGGCTTGCAGCTGTTGCAGGTGTGTACGTACAAACCCCGTGCTCGAGCTGCCTTTGCGCCGTTGTAGACTGGAAAGCTTGTCCATTAAATTCAGGGAGAATTGCCGTTGGAGTGGCAGACGTGCGCCTAGTAGGTGGGCATTACCAGGGAACGTGAGTGGACTGACTGGCTAGCAGTATTGCTTGTACTGGCAGTACCAGCCAACGGCTGGATCTGGTGTTTGCCCAGCTATTCCGTTGTCCTAACAAAGTTGCTACGCTGCCTCCCGTGACAGACGAAACCGGATGACAGCTTTACAATTATCACTCACTGCATCTTCAAAACACACCTCCTAGCCTCGCCAAGCCGCCTGTCGCTTGCAGTGGACACCTTGCGCCACGCCGACCTGGTGGCCCCACGCCTGGGACGGTCGGCGACATGGGCGATACTGTCGGTCGCCTGCATGCGAAGCGCTGAGTTATATGTTCGACATGTGCTGCCGGAACGCTCCAGCAGTTCAGGCAACAAATGCAACAGCGCTGTGGACTCGGGACCACTGTGGCAGTTCTTGGACTTGCTGTGCAACTTAGGTACGTACTGGTAGTTGGTCAGGAATAGGCTGGTAGGGCTAAAAATGCTTCACGGCAAGTCGTAACTCTTCAGGTACAAGGCTCGCAACCTCTAGCACGACCCGGCAGCGGCTTCAGGATGCGCGTAATGCCTGCTATTCACGCAGCAGCATGTAGCAATCCGCTCCTAAGCCTGCAGGATTGATCTGTCATGATGCTGTCCATGTCTTTCTGTTTACTGCAGGACCTGTTTCCCTCACGTCCGTTTTCATGGACAGTTTAGAGCCAGACAAGAGCTACAGAGCAATCCTAGGCAGAGTTCCCTTCCGAGATACCAACTTTATGAACTTCTGCGGGCCGTACACCCTCGACGCCGGCGAAGCCATCTCCATAGCAAACTACCTGTGGCCCGAGGTCGAGGCGCATGCGGCAGCAGTGGACCTCTCAAAACCCACAGCGGCAGCACCTGAGGGTGCACCGCTGCTGACCTGCCGGCAGCTGGGTGTGCTGTATGGTGTCGTGGGCATGATACCCGACCATCTGAGCGGGGGATACGAGGGCAAGCTGCAGTCGCTCCGTGAGCAGGTACGTAGCTGCTGTTGGCCCTGCAGGTGCAGGGCACGAGGCCTGCCTTGCAGGACGTGTGACCGTGTCCCAAGGCCATAGGGTAGGCGCATACACCTTCGCAAGCGTTTAGTTTTCAATGCCATAGCGGTGGCGGAGGGTGTACAGGGGAGGGGAAACCCGTTGATCCTCACCACCACCCGCCCCCTTAAATCACGCCAGGGCAAGCCCGGCGTAATCTTATTATTATTATTATTAGTTTTCAATGCGCACTTCCAACAACATCAGTCCGTCACGTCCCCTCATGGAAGTGTTTCTCCTATGCCCTCCGCTATTTGCACAGAGCATCGCCTCCCTGACTGCTAACACCCCTTACTTGTTTCCGTTGCCCCGCTTCACCGCCTCACGCCTTGCAGCTGCTGCCGCTCTACCTGCATTCGCTGTCATCCCTAGCAACCCTGGAGCCCCAAGAGGGCCCTAAGCACCCTTCGTGCCTCTGCGACAAGCTCAACGCTTTCCTGGACGCCTTGGAGCCTGTCATCTGTGCAAATCCCGTCGACAGGGCCTTGCCGGCCGGCTATGACGCCCCCTTGCAACCACTAGTACGCGAGCTCGTCGCGAACCTAGTAGCTGTCACTATCACCACAGCTGGCGACGCATTTCCGCTCGACGAGCAGACTTCCTTCAATGTCGACACGCCGTTTGTCCGCAACACAGCCCTTGGCCGCGTCTCCGAAGGAGAAGTTTATTATAACCTCCTCTCAATAATCGAAGACATGCAGCCTCCGCCAGAATACCGCGACAAGATCAACGGTGTATTGTGGGATGCAGGCCTGGAGGCTTACGTGCTGAGGGTGCTGCCCTGGTACCGGGCGGCTAGGCGGTTGCTGAACATCATATTGACCTCGGCCCTAGGAAGCTTCCGAGATGAGCTGGCGACCCGCGGCGTGGAGGGCCCTGGATGTGGCCGCTGGGCGAATCTGATGTGGGGGGTTTCGGTTGTCTGTCCGGAGTATGACGAGAGCGTGGGGCCGGAGGCAGCTGAGACATCGAAGCATGTTGCTGGGATGGAGGTCGTGGTGGGGTTGGAGGACGATGCGCAAGGATGAGGCGGCCCTTGCAAGAGGCGGCGTCTGACAACATTGGTATGACAATGAATGCAATGCATAAAGCAAAGAATCGGAAGGTTAGGAAGGGGCTCAAACAGCAGGTACGACAGATGCTGCGGGAGTTTGGCTCCATGGGTCCCTGCGTTGCCACCGCCAGGCTGCTTGACACGTTTGGGTGGGGGGGTATTCGTGTCGGAGCTGTAGGCTGCTGGGTACCAGGGGCCGCTTCACACAGCAGAATTTAATGTGCTATTTTCATGTACATCAAGTGTGGAATGTACGTAAATGCGTACCGGGTACAGTGGGGTTACCTAACACGGGGACGAGGGTTAAGAGTCCTCTTCCCAGCCTTGCTGAATTTGTACCAGAGTTGTTATAATTGTCGGTACTCCGAGGGGCGTTCGGACTGCATAACACTCCGTTTTCTGTCGTACATTGGTCATTGTTGCCGTTTTGTGGCGTGGTCCAAAGGGCTGTGCGTCGCATTTGAGTCGTTCTGACGCTAAAAAATCGCATTCTCGCTGGCACCAGGGGCAGACTTTTGGCTTTACGTTTAACAGCTCCGGATGTCCTTTCGGAGGAGGCGGCGCTGGTGGCGTCAGGTAGTAGGCGAGAGCACAGGAGGCTGAAACCCGCTTAGCATGGGAAGGTTTACTCAACTTGGTTGCGTGAATGCTTGGAACTGTGCCAAGCGGAACTGAAACACTGAAAAATGGATTGCACTTACCTGATTGAGGTAGCACATGATGTATTACCGTACTAAAGAGCCTCTGTGCGAAAGCCCAGTTGGGGCTGTTGGTTGAGGAGGGCGACGATGCCTGCGCATGCCCACATGGCAGGCCAGGGAAGACAGGCATGCTTGCCGGGCAGGGCGTGGACGCCGGGCTCAAGCGCGCCCGGTTCATCTTCAGCTTGCTCTCCCGGCCCACACGTTTTGCTGGGGCACGTGCTGACCTCTAATTCATGGAGCCGCTTGCCGCATGCTACACCTGTGCAGCCCGCGCGTGCACACCTGAATTCGCCGCTCTGCTTCTTTTTCTCTACCACCCTAGTAACGCGTTAGCAAGCATTCCAGGTGGGAGTTTGGCAGGCCAGGAATGTCTGTATGGATGGGCACTGGCTATTAGCCAAAGCCGGAACGCCCGCCCGCACGGGCGCCGTGGGTTCGAGGGTTACCCTGTGTAGCTGTGGTGAATGGGTTCGCGAGGAACCTGGGGCCTGCTACCAAAGCTACCGTGGTTGCCGAACACGCCCAGATTATCGTACATTGGCCTCTGTTGCCCGTTTCTGCAATATATGTGCCCTATGAGAGCAATTGCTTCAACCGACCTAGCTCATCTAAGCAGGTCCCGAAAGGCGGGGCATGTTCGAGGCATGGGGCACCCTGGGGACATCTCATGCCGTGTGGCCAGGAGGCTGACTTACAAGCTAGGCTGACTCAGAAGCGGGGCTTCCTCATTGACAAAGGCCATACAGTTGCAACGGTTATCGCGCAGGAATAAATTCAGTTAAACAGCGTATGTGGAAAGTTCGCGGTTCTGTGTCAAGAGTAAACATGGAGAAGTACGTCGCCGTACCGTTGACACAGGAAGATGATCTGCGACGATCAACCAACGAGTGGAGATTATACTATTTGGTAGCAGCTGCTGCAGCAGAAGCGGCGGGTACGAGCAGAGGGGCGGGTATTCCTCCTGTAGCGGAGTTAGAAGCAGAGACGCTTGCTGGAGACGAGGCTAGAACGGAAGGCCTATACTCTGACGACGATGAGCCGACCTCGATGGCACCAGAGGTAGACTTTGGCTTCACGTTTAAGACTTTGTTACCGCCCAAGCCTTTCGGAGGAGGGGGCGCTGGTGGGATCAGGCGATAGGCGCGACGACGGGAGCTCAGGATGCTGCTAAGCATGGGAGCGTTAGCGCCATGTGCATTTGTAACTACTGAATGGGCACATGTTTTTTCCCAGCATCTTTGCGTTGATATATTGGTTATTAAGCTAGGTAGCGCAAATCGCGCAACATGCCAACATGCAAACGAAAAAGTCGCTAGGCTGCCAGATTCAACTTACCTGAGGTCGCAATTGAAATACACTGCGATAAGATTGCACATGGAATACGCTACGATGCCTCGGCCCTCACCTTCCAAAAGATTGTCCCAAGGGCTTGTTTCGGAGCCCGAACCTTGACAAGATCCATTATGCGCTTGTAGCGTCTGAGCATCCACATTTCTGAAAGCAGTTGTTTGGCGTTTGTGAGCTGCGTCGGTGTCACAACCGCTTGCGCTAGGCTACCGTATCCGTTGGGATGTCGAGACCTCACCCTTGGATAGCGTTTCCTTCTTAACAGGATGCCTTGTTTATATGAGCCTTAAGGATTTCGACAATGGCGCCTTCTGGATCGGCGCAAGCGAGGGTGCGTCGTCTGCGAGCCTACGTTCGACGCTTGAGCTACTTCCAAGCAAGGAATCGCGCCTTGGGCTCTTAAAGTTACTGTTTGCCGTATCCCTTCTGTCCTCTTTCTCCCCAATCCCCAGTGTGGTCACCCTGGACAGCCCTACTCGTGCGGCTACCTTCTCACCGCTCGACGGCTCATCTCATTTGTTCCCCCGTCGACTACCATCGCAGCTCCTTTCCTTCCGACACACTATGCCCTCCACTCAGGCCTCCTGCAACGTGTCGGCCGTTGCAGCGCCATCCTCGCTGCAGGCTCCTCTTCCTCCTCGTCCGGTCCCCTGCAGCGCCCCTCTGGTGCCCCCGGAGGCGGTTCCACCAGCACCGACCTGCTGCTGCAGCGCCTAAGTCGCGCCAGCAGCCTGGGGGACGTCCTGGCGCTGGTGGAGGGACCCAGCGGCGGGCGCCACCAGGCGACGGGTGGGGCCCCCAGAGGAGCTGCAGGCGCGGATTCCTTCGTCAACGTAGAGCTGCTGGCGGCGCTGGCTCGGTGCTGCAGCGGCGGAGGCAGCGCGGCCCCGGAGGCCAGTGGCGGCGGTAGGCGCGCAGCGGAGGAGCTGGAGCGCATGTGGGTGAGTCGGGACCTGGCGTTCTGGCCGAGTGCACGTAATGCGTGCTGTGCATACGGTTGCCTTCCTCAAAGCTCTCCCTGACAGCAGCTCATGCTTTCCTCCATGCCCATGCCCTTCCTTTCAGGCGCTGCTTCCCGGCCGGCTGAAGGACCTGTCAGGCCGTGTGGGCTGCCTGTCCTTCAAGCAGCTCTCAAGTACCCTTAAGAGCCTCGTTGTGCTTCTTACCCGCAACAGGACAGCTGTCGTACCGCTCACGGCTTCCATACTTGCTTTGGTGGGTGCCCTGCCGGAAACCGCCCGCAGCACCACCACCCCGCCTCCATCCCTCAAGGCCCTGGAGGAGGCGTTTTCGGCTGCTCAGCAACTGCTTTCCTTGACTGCGGCAGCAGCAACGTCTGCAGCCAGCAGTGGAACCAACCCGAGGCTGCAACAAGAGCAGCAAAGACAGCTACTGCAGCAGCAGCTACAGAAGCAACAGCAGCAGATGTACGAGTACCTCCGCACGGCAGTCACGGAGGGCCCTGGCTGCGTGGAACGGCTGAGGAGCGGTGCGGATATGGCGGAGCTGGCAGCCGCGGTCACGCTTGTGGCCAGGTTTGGGTTGCCACAGTCACCACCGCTTGGGTTCGTTGAGGCGGTTGTGGGGCGCGTGGAGGAGCTCATGGCTGCGGCTTGTCCCCCCGGGCCACTGCTGCCGGAGCCACTGCATGCAGACGTCTCCCCCACTTCCGCGGCTTCCGAAACAGCCTCAGCAGCAACCCCAAGAGCTGCTGCTGGCGACGCCACTGAAGGAGAGCACAAGGGCAAGAAGAGGGACAGGAAGGCTGCACCGTCGAAGCAGCAAACGCAGCCTCTAGACGTGCGCTCCCTCACGCTGCTCCTGACGCACTGGTGCTCTAGGCCCCCCTTTGCTGCACCCTCCTCATCCACCGCTCCACAGCAGCAGCAAGGACATCAAGTGGGATTTGGGGGGCCGGCAGGCCCGTCCGGAGGTCCGCAGCAGGCGGTGGTGGCAGGCGAGCCGGTGTGGGTGGACTGGGTATCACACTGCGCCGAGGCGGTGTGGCTGACGCAGGACGTGGCGACACAGGCTCGGAGGGAGGTGATGGCGGCTGAGGTTGCTGGCTTGGAGGAGCAGTTGGTGACGCTGAGGAGGGAGGAGCAGCGGCTGCTGAGGGCTGAGAAGCAGCAGCAGGAACAGCAGCGGCAGCAGCAGCAACGAGGGCACAAGCAACAGCGACAGACCCAGCAGCAGCAGCAGCAACAAGACCGAAAGGGCGGAACCCAAGCAGTATCCGGCACCGATAGGGGCGGCACCTCAGCCCAGCATACAGATCCCTCCCCAGCCAGAGACGACCAACAACATCAAGAGCAGCAGCCCTTTGCGTTTACTGATGCCGCCGGTGCGGCAGCTGCCATTGGCAGCACAACGGCCGACATGCAGAGGGCCATTCGTGAGCTGCGGTCCCTTGGGCCCTCTCCCGCTCCCTCAGCCCCTGCCTCCGCTTCCTCCTCCGCGGCGGCAGGAGCACTTGAAGTGGAGCTGCTGGTTGAGTTGGCGTTCCAGCTGGGGCGGTGCCTGGGCGGGCGGGCCAGCCGGCAAGGTTGCGCGCTGGCAGAAGTGGTGCTGCTGGGGCGCATGGAGGAGCTGAAAGCAAAGGGAAAGTCGGCGTTGGTAATCAAGGTACGTTTTCGTTGGCCTCGTTTCCTCACCCTCCCTAGCTCTGCTACCGTCCTGGATACCGTATGAGATCAGCACTGTTGTTTACTCACTGTGTCCGAATGCTACCGGTGCCTGTGGGTAAATAGTTCTGTCGGCCGCCCCTGACTGCGTATCCCGCCCCTGCAGCTGCTGGCAGCCTTCCGGCACCTGCGCCACGCCGCCTCCCCTCCGCTGCTCTCCGCCTCCCTGCACGCGCTGCTGCCCCACCTGGAGAGCCTTCCCGCGGAGGAAGCGCTGCCGCTACTAACCGTCCTGGAGGCCTTCGGTGACCAGCCGCTAACCAGCCCACAGCCGGAAGCAGTGCTGCAGCCTCTAGCACATACTGTCTCCAAGGAGGCGGCCCGTAGTAGTGGCAGGGGCGTGCCTGTACCTGTGCTGCTGTCGGCGCTGCTTCGGCGTTGCGCAGCCTGGGGCGTGCGGGTGCCGGAAGAGGCGCTGAGGACCATCCAGAGGGCGGTGGAGCCCTGGATTCGATGGGAGGTCAATCCGGGGCTGCAGCCGGGGCTGTATCGTGCACTGCAGGAGAACCGGCGCTTCATGGTATGTGTGGCGTCGGTGCTGGTGCCGTTTTCCAGATAGTCCTATTCCTAACCGTCAGTGAATGAAGTGTGTACTTGCTCCTGTGAGAGCGCTCCTACCTGCACACGCCACGATTGTTTCACTCCTTGGGTCGCATCCTCCTACGTGTCCAATCCAGTGATTTACCCTACATGCCCCGTTCCTTCTCACCTGCCCCATTACCACTTGTCTTCGTTACCGCCTCCTTTCCAGGCGGAAACCGCCAAGACACAGCCGCTCCCAGATCACCAGCTGCAGAAGCACGCAGGCGGGTCCATGCTCGAGGTGCTGATGGACGGAGTGGTGCTGCCGCTGGCGCAGCTGGGCCAGGCCTTTGCGGAGCCGGATACCTATGCGGCGGCGCTGAACTATTGGCGAACCGTGGGTCGCTTTGAAGGACTCGATGCGCGGAGGTCGGCGGCGCTGCTGCGTACCGTGGCACTGGCCCAGGGCTGGCACCACTCTCGGGTGATGCGTGAGGTGAGGCATGGCCAGTGTAGGGTCTTGGGGAATACAGACTCATGCATGCACGCGGCCGTTTACATGATTCCCCAATGCTTCCGCCCTGCCGACCAGGACCTTGAGCAGTTGCTGGTTGATTCGCTGCATGAGGAGGCGCTGCTGCGGCTGCCCGAGGCGGGGGGCGCACGGCAGCTGGCGGAGCTGCTGGCGGCGGCAGGCCGCGCCATGCCGGTCATGGCTAACAAAGTGGAGCGAGGCGGAGGAATTGCGGTGAGTATAGGGCTGGGAGAAGGGAATGGAGTGGTGTTAGGAGCAAGTGCCGGCATGTACGGGCAAAGGACAAATGCATGGATCTGGTTCACTTGGCATGCAGCGTTGTGCCACCATGCGCCAAAGCAAGACTGTCATGCTCCCGAACTGGCTGGCCGCTTTCAAAACCGCTGCTGTTGCTGCCATTGCTGCTGGTCCTGCAGGAGCGAGCCGCCCCACTGGCTGCCCCGCTGCTGCTGCCGGCTGTGGAATGGCTTCTGGAGCTGCAGCCGCATGCTGACGAGGTGGCGCTCGCAGCACAGGCGCTGTTTGTGGACCTGAGGTGGGGTCGCGGAGCTGGCCAGGAGGACGGAGCGGGCGCTGATGCGGCCGCTGCGGCTGACCAGGGGGAGGCACACAAGCAGCCGCACGTACAGCTGTTGGAGCGCATGCTAGCCGCAGCAGAGCCCACGTTGGAGGCAGCGGAGCCGGCCGACATTGCGATTGAAGGAGTCAGCATTGGCAGGAGCAGTGGCTGCAGTGCCCAGGGCTGTGCTTACCTCCTGGCAGCTTGCGTGAGCTGCGGGTACACGCCGCCGCTGGTGCAGCTGGCTAGGCTGTACGGCAGAGCGCTGCATGCACTGCAGTCGCAGCCTGCGCCGGCGGCTGTGCTGGTGAGCTTGGCAGACAGCTTGGGCCGGCTGGGCGCTGGGGCAGATGCGGCAGGGGCAAGCAGCAAAACCACTCGACGGCCAGAAGTGCCGGGCAGCCTTTGCGATGACCCGTCTCCTGCGTCTGAGCATGCCGCAGCCCCAGTCGTTGCTGCGTCACGAGGGGCGTTGCTGCAAGCCCTAGCCGACGGCTTGCTGCACCCAGCAGCGCTGTCAGAGCTCAGCAAGCAGCCCAAACAGCTCGTGGAGACGGTGTGGCAGCTCACGCGCATGGGTGCACGACTGAATCCAGCTTGGGTCCATTCGTACGACAGCTTGGTCCTAAAGCTCATGCCCAATCTGGAGCCGGCGGGTCTAGCGCATGCTGCCGCCAGCCTGGCCCTCTTGGGCGCCTCACCCCAGGCCTCCTGGGTGGATGCGCTGTTGAAGCACGCGGAACAGCAAGGAGGCCACCCCAGGTTTTCGCGTTTCAAGACGTACGATCTCGGACTGCTACTTGGTGGCGTACATGCGTTGTACGGTAGCGGCGGCGGCGGAAGCAGTGCTGCCAGCAGCAAACCGCGGGCAGGCACGGCAGCTTCCGCGCCGTCAAGCGATGCTGCGATGCAGGCGTGGAGTCGTGCGCATGTGACCTTTGTGAACGATCCTCTTTCTCAGGGTGTGTTGTCCAAGTACAGCCCCTCAGAACTGCAGCTGGTGGCAGCGGCGGTGGCGGCGTACGAGCTGGCACGGCAAGGCGGTGGCAGCAAGCAGGGACGTCCGAAAGGTGGCAAGGGGTCGAGCGTGGTTTCATCGACGGACTGCATGGGGCGGGTGCAGCCGGCATGGCTGGAGGCGTGCGGCGGGGCGCTGCTGAAAGTGAGGCGGGGCTGCCTGCAGCGCAGCTCCTTCACCGGGGCCGCTGCGGAGGCGGCATCTCCGATGTCGCCCGCTGTCCTGCCCTTGGCAGGCCTGATCTTGGATCTCCTGCGCTTGGCGTCATGCGTTGTGGCTGGCAGCACGGATGGCTCTATCCGGCGACTGGTGGCTGCGGCCCCTCCAGCAGCATTGGAGGTTGGGCCCACGGGTCACGGAGCCCTTGCTGCCTCAGATGTTGGCTCAGGTCAGGAAGCTGCTGTGCCTGCGGCGCTGACTGCGGCAGCTGCGCCGGCTGCCTCCACTGAGGCCGTTAAGCTGCTCGAGTACGTACGCCTCTCTCTCACTGATTGGGCCTCGGTAGGCGGCAACACTGGCAGCGCCGTTGGCGGCCTGCCCTTAGCAGACTGGCAGGTGCTGCTGCGGGCGGCGCTAGACGCTGGCTTGCAGCCCTCCGCTCCCGAGCTTGAGGCATACTGCTCGCGGCTGTTCGCTTCCCTGGCTGAGAAGGCCAACCGTCACGACAGCTCGGACGACCAGCGGCATGCCCTGTGGCGTGCGGTATCGTCCGCCTTGACTTCGGTGCTGCTGCCTGTGCTGCCCTGGTCGCCGCCAGCTCACATCGCTGCGGCATTCAGGGAGGCGTTCCTGCTGCATGTGCCCCTGCAACAGGCCAGCATGCGACAGCTGGGGCTGCTGTGCACGTACTGCGTGCAGACCGGGCTCGGCAGTGATGCGGTGTGGTCAAGGGTACGGGAGGAGCTGATTAGGCGCCTGCCGCAAGAGTCGGTATTGACAGTGGTGGCAGCGACTCAGGTGCAGGCGGGAAGAAGGCTGGTGGCCAAGGCAACAGCACCAGCAGCAGTACCCAAGGCTCTAGGGCAGCCTATTGGGGCGCAAGGGGTAAAGGGCGGTGGCGCTGTCCAATCAGGAGGCGAAGAAGGGCCCCAGGAGCAGATAGCGGCTGCTGATTTGGCAGCGGTCTGCTATGCCTTGGAGATAGGCGGATGTGGGGCGGGGCAGGCAGCGGTGCGGTGGCTCTGGGAGCTGCAGGAGCGCCAGCAGAAGCCGCAGCAGCCGGGGTCCGCAGGGCAGGAGCAGGGCGCATGGTACTCGGGTTCGAGCCTAGCACTGAGCGGCTTGTCTGCCTTACAGCGCCTATGGATGAGCAGGTCGGCAGTGGTAAGCCCGCCCTTAACACCCGCGGAGGAAGTCCTGGAGGGAATGGCTGCAACCGCAGTGGCAGCGCAGGCGCTAACCACAGTGAAGCAACCAGCAGCGGCGGAGGAGCTCTGGCAGTCTCTATTCAGCAGCGTCTCAGGTCTTGACTTGCTGCTGCCATCGCAGTTGGTACAAATGGTAGCCTTAAGAGCCGAAGCGGCAAGGACTGCCGATGGCACTGCCGGCGGCGGCGCGTGTATAGCAGCGCACATGCCTTCAGAAATCGGAGTGCGCTTACTGCAGCGCTTGGCTGCACCCACTGTCCGTCCAAGCCTGAAGCATTCTGAGGCCGCGCTGGCATTGCTGCACTGCCTGCCCGCCGCTTTGGGCCGCGCAGAGGCGTTCACCGCAACGAGCGCAGCAGCAACAGGGTCTGAAGCTGCCACTTCCGGGGCAACCTTTGCAATTGGTGGCAGGGGCCGAGCTCCACTTCCACCTTACGCTGTGGCGCTGGCAGAAGCGGCTGAGGAGGCGCTGCCGTTGGCTGACGTAATTGAGCTGCTGTTACTGCTGGAGGGCAGGTCGGGCTGGCGCATGTCGCAAAGGCGGGTTGAGAAACTCGTGGAAAGACTGCTGCGTGCGGTCGAGGCAGTCACGGCGGCAAACCAGATGAAAGGAGATGGCCATGAGCAACTCCAAGGTGCTGCCTGGACTCTTGAGCGCGCACTGCAGGTGAGGAACTGAGGGTAGAGATTGCCGCTTGCTCTATCCGTCGAGTTAATGACATTTAGGCACTTAGCGCTCCTGGCAGTCGCACGCGCCTACTGCTGCATGTAAGCTGAAGGTTTAATGTGCTGCCGTAAGCACGCTGCTTCAAGGGACATCTTTGCGGACAACCTCAGCTGCATGCAAAGTCGTTTTATATTCCACACTAAGAGTTAATATATTTACATATTTCAAATCTATACGTATGTATGCATTCAAGGCTCGTCAACTGCTGGTTGCTTAGCTGTCTGTCGTTCCCGCTGCTCCGAACCCTTAGTTACCAATTGTCTTTCCCGTGATTAGCCAAGGCAACAGGGCAGATAAGGTCTTTCGTAACACCAATTCTACTATGAATTTACCAAGGAAGTCGTACGTACAAATTAACATAAGGTTCCAGACCGCTAGTGCCTGCTCCTCTGATAGACACGCGTCGACGCGTGGTACAACTCCGCGCTTTTAGCTCATAAGCTTATGCATCAACCGTTTGCACGATTGGGAGGCAATGCCCCGGGGGTCTGCCGTTGTCGGCGCCTCTCCACTTGCCTGCAACAACCTGAAGTGCTCTTAAGGGCCAAGGACCAGCAATAAGGCTTTACCTCGGCAATGCCGCCCAGCCGGCTACCGGTATTCGTGACTGCTACGAATTCACGCAGAACCATACCTTCCCTTGGTGAAGGAAAGGCATGTCGCCCATGGAGGCAGTTCGAGCATGGCAAGACGCGTGCCCGCTTATTTACGGGGATTACCTGCGCTGTACTGACTTATGTACTCTGCTGACTCTTGTGCTCCTCCTCACCTTTCAGGTAGCCCGCGCCCTGCTTACACTGGCACCCGTCCAGCAAGAGCAACATCAACAGCAGAAAGCGGTACGGTTGACCATTACACCTGAAGCGCTGACAGTCATAACGCCGTTTCTACAGCGGCTGGTCCCGGCAGCGGAGGAGCGCTTGCGACACCAAGTCAACAAGGAGGTGTTGGGTGGTTCGGTTGAGAATGACAAGCCTCCTGAGATTCAACACGCAGAATACGCTGACCATGGCACACCACTGCCGCCCCTCGAGGGCATAACTCCCGAGCTTGCAGCTCAAGTGGTGGTCGCGATGATTGAAGCTGCTGGCGAGGACATGCCCCTGCCGCGCCCGCTTGCAGCCATAGCCATCCTGCTGCTGGGCTGCCCCGGAGCTGCCCAAAGGATGCCCCAGGCGCAGCTGCAACAGGCGCTAGCACACTCACTTGTGGGTCACGCCGATCTCCCAATGCCCGATTCAACGGCTGAGGCCATTTTGTCGGCCCGCTTGGCGGCCACTGGTGTCACGCCTGCTCGTGAGCTTGCACTGACACGGCAGCTGCGGCTGTGCGGCGCAAGTGCGTCCCACTCGCAGCGGGTTCTGGCGGCCATGCAGACAGATGAATTCACAGGCTTCGAGCTCGAGGAGACAGCCTTTTTATTACGTGAGATGTACGAATGTTGCTTCGAGGTGTGTGTAAGAGCGCTGCAGCGAAGTAGACTATACCGTAAAGCTGGTCAACGATGGAGAACTGCCGTGGAATGCGCTAATGCCCCCGCTCTGATGCCTGATAATGCATGTGTGGGTCTGTAATGCGGCCTCTATCAGTGGACTTGACTTGCCTGGCTAATGACTAGTTTAGTCTACTGCCTACCTACCTACTTATCTTAACAAGCTTGCTGTGCCGACTTCTGCTGCAGGCGGATGTGTACGGCGGTTTCCTGGCTTGCATCTACAGCATCTTGAAGTCACACTTCATTGCCTCCTCAAGCCGCCTGTCGCTTGCACTTGATGCCTTGCGTCATGCTGACGCGGTGGCCCCACGCCTACAGCGCCCAATCACATGGGCGCCAGTGCTGCTCGCCTGCTTGCGAGACGCTAAGGCCTATACTCCACATGTGCTGCCGGAACGCCCCAGCAGCTCTGTTGGCAGTCCCAGCAGCAGCGTTGTAGACTCGGAGCTCTTGTGGCACTTCTTGGGCTTGCTGTGCGAGCTTGGTATGTACTGGGGTGAACTAGTCGGTCAGGAGCAATCTAGACTGGGCTTGAAATGTTTCGTGGCAAGGCTTAAGTTCGTAGGTAGCACGGAATGCAACCCGTAAGCGGTCTACGACCTTTCATGGCGATGTGCATGTCTGACTGTGCTTTGCAGGACCGGTTTCCGTTACCGCCGGTTTCATGGACTTACCACCTGAGCTGAGCTACAGAGCACGCGAACGCCTTGTATTCTGCAATGGTAACGAATTTATGAACTTCTGCGGGCCGTACACCCTCGACGCCGGCGAAGCCATCTCCATAGCAAACTACCTGTGGCCCGAGGTCGAGGCGCATGCGGCAGCAGTGGACCTCTCAAAACCCACAGCGGCAGCACCTGCGGGTGCACCGCTGCTGACCTGCCGGCAGCTGGGTGTGCTGTATGGTGTCGTGGGCATGATACCCGACCATCTGAGCGGGGGATACGAGGACAAGCTGCAGTCGCTGCGTGAGCAGGTACGGAGCTGCTGTTGGCCCTGCAGGTGCAGGGCACGAGGCCTGGCTTGCAGCACGTGTGACCGTGTCCCAAGGCCATAGGGTACGCATACACCTTCGCAAGCGTTTAGAGTAAAATTCGCACTTCCAACAACATCAGTCCGTCACGTCCCCCCATGGAAGTGTTTCTCCTATGCCCTCCGCCATTTGCGCAGAGCACCGCCTTCCTGACTCCTAACACCCCTTACTTGTTTCCGTTGCCCCACTTCACCGCCTCACGCCTTGCAGCTCCTGCCGCTCTATCTGCATTCGCTGTCATCCCTAGCAATCCTGAAGCCCCAAGAGGGCCATAAGCACCCTTCGTACCTCTGCGACAAGCTCAACGCTTTCCTGGACGCCTTGGAGCCTGTCATCTGTGCAAATCCCCTCGACAGGGCCTTGCCGGCCGGCTACTACGCCCCCTTGCAACCACCAGTACGGGAGCTCGTCGCGAACCTAGTAGCTGTCAATATCAACACAGCTGACGACGCATTTCCGCTCGACAAGCTGATTTCCTTCAATATGGAGACGCGGTTTGTCCGCAACACAATGCTTGGCCGCGTCTACAAACAGGACGTTTATTATAACCTCCTCTCCATGCTCAAAGACATACAGACCCCGCCAGAATACCGCGACAAGATCGACGATGCATTGTGGGATGCAGCCCGGGAGGCTTACGTGCTGAGGGTGCTGCCCTGGTACCGGGCGGCTAGGCGGTTGCTGACCATCATAATGGCCTCGGCCCTAGGAAGTTTCCGAGGCGAGCTGGCGACCCGCGGCGTGGAGGGGCCTGGGGATGGCCGTTGGGCGAATCTGATGTGGGAGGTTTCGGTTGTCTGTCCGGAGTATGACGAGAGCGTGGGGCGGGAGGCAGCTGAGACATCGAAGCATGTTGCTGGGATGGAGGTCGCAGTGGGGTTGGAGGACGATGCGCAAGGATGAGGCGGCGCTTGCAAGAGGCGACGTCCGACAACATTGGTATGACAATGAATGCATAAAGCAAAGAATCGGAAGGTTAGGAAGAGGCTCAAACAGCAGGTACAATAGTTGCTGCGGGAGTTTGGCTATCTATGGGGGTCCCTGCGTTGCCACCGCCAGGCTGCCTGACACGTTTGGGTGGGGGGTATTCATGTCGGAGCTGTAGGCTGCTGGGTGCCAGGGGCCGCCTCATACAGCAGAATTTAATTTGCTATTTTCATGTACATCAAGTGTGGAATGTACGTAAATGCGCACCGGGTACAGTGGGGTTTCCTAACACGGGGACGAGGGTTGAGAGTCCTCTTCCCAGCCTTGCTGAAGTTGTACCAAAGTTGTTATAATTGTCGATGCTCCGAGGGGTCTTCGGACTGCATAACACTCCGTTTTCTGTCGTACATTGGCCATGGTTGCTGTTTTGTGGCATGGTCCAAAGGGCTGTGCATCGCATTTGAGTCGTTCTGACGCTAAAGAATCGCATTCTCGCTGGCACCAGGGGCAGACTTTTGGCTTTACGTTTAACAGCTCCGGACCTCCTTATCCTTTCGGAGGAGGCGCTGGTGGGGTCAGGTAGTAGGCGGAAGTGCAGGGGCTGAAACCCTCTTAGCATGGGAAGGTTTACTCAACATGTGCGCAAGTGTCATGCTCGTATGTAAGAACTTTGTCATCATTTGGTTCTCGGTTTTTTGGCTTGGTTGCGTGAATGCTTGGAACTGTGCCAAAGCCGAACTGAAATAAACACTGAAAATCATTGAAAATAGTGGATTGGACTTACCTGATTGAGGTAGCACATGATGTATTACCGTACTAACGAGCCTCGGTGCGAAAGCCCAGTTGGGGCTGTTGGTTGAGGAGGGCGACGATGCCTGCGCATGCCCACATGGGCGTCAGTACCCAGCAGGCCAGGGAAGGCAGGCATGCTTGCCGGGCAGGGCGTGGACGCCGGTCTCAAGCGCGCCCGGTTCATCTTCAGCTTGCTCTCCCGGCCCACACGTTTTGCTGGGGCACATGTTTGAGGCATGGAGCACCCTGGGGACATCTCATGCCGTGTGGCCAGGAGGCTAACTCACAAGCTAGGCTGACTCAGAAGCGGGGCTTCCTCGTTGACAAAGGCCATACAGTTGCAACGGTTATCGCGCAGGAATAAATTCAAGTAAACTGCGTATGTGTAACGTGCGCGGTTCTGTGTTAAGAGTAAACATGGAGAAGTACGTCGCCGTACCGTTGACACAGGAACATGATCTGCGACGATCAACCAACGAGCGGAGATTATACTAGTTGCTTAGATATCTGCAACGATGAGGACCAGTACTGTGCAGCCGTTTCGATCGAGCTCAGTAGCTCCACAACGACTGGCGCCTCGTCGCTCGCTTGCAAGATGCAAAGCCGCAGTTTCACCAGCCGGTATGGCAGGCAGTCGCCTGTAGCTTATCGGGATGTTAAGAGTCTATACTTGTCCGCAGCCCTCCATCGCTTGCTCAATTGAGCAAATGTATTCCTGCCTCTTTCGTGCAGCGCTGACTGACATAGAAAAGCAAGCTCTTGCAACCTACAAATCAAGCTCATCGTCACCAAGCAAAGCCGATGCGCTGCAGCTGTTAAAGCGAGCAGCTGCGACCAAATCCGTACCGGCAGAGACAGTGGAGGGTGCCTTACTAGCTTTGGAGCAGTTTGCAGCACAAGAAAAGACCGGTGGGACGTTCGGGAGCGACTTGCAGCTATCCTAGTATTCAATGAAATGGCTAGCGGGTAAACCACAGGGAGCAGCGGGTAACGGCAACGAACTTTGTTGCCCACACGCACGATAACTTAAAAGCGTCTGAGCCTTTCAAGCATGTGCAAGCACACCACCCTGGGCTATTGCTGTTGGCCCTATCATGGCCGTGCAACCAACTTCTCGCTTTGTTCCCTTTCCACACACCGCACCAGCCCCCTTCGCACCCCCCCCCACGCATTCGGCTTCCGCAGGTTCCACACCGAGCATCGCCGGAAGCTGGCGGTTGCTGTTTGGCACAGCAACCAAGTTCCGCCCCTTCCAATATATTCCCGTCAAGGTACGGCAATTGCACAGCAAAGGAGCGCAGGGAGTTAAGAAAACAAGAAGGAAACATGTACAGGAAACACACAAACATTTCGCCTTATGGAAGCGGCACACTCTTAGGAGGGCCCGCACCTTTTCATGCACGTATCATGGTTCTGACTCTGTTATGGCTGGACTTGCCAACCCCTGCAGGAGGATTTCGTGCTGGACGAGGCGGATAAGGTGATGCTGGATTCTTGATCTGGCCGTTTGACCTTACTCCGCCGCCCGCAGCCTTCCTGCCCCTTCACAATGTCCTATTGCAGCAGGCTCCGCAGCCTAACCTTCCGTGCCTTCATGCATGCATGACTATAAACACTGCGCTCTGTTCCATTAGACCCCTGTGCAACCTCGTTCAGGTAGCATCCTGCGCCTGCCCTCCTGCCCCTGATACCTCCCTCCTTACACAAACATCCACCCCGCCTCCCACAACTAAGACCGTGGTCCTGGAGAGCACGCTGGGACCCTTTGAGTTCTTCATCCGGGGGGTCATGGCGTCCTGGCGGCCCGAAAGCGGCGAGCTGCAGTTCCAATTCACCAAGGTACGTGGCGACATTATCGGTACTACCGTGCCGTAGGCAAGAGTACGAACAGTATGGATTAGCACACGCTTGCAGTAGTAGCAGAGGATGCAGAAGGAGACGCATCAGGCATGGCAGCAACAGTACAAGCAAACCGCTACCAGCAGCAGCGGGAGCGCCGGCTGGCATGACATGGCTTCATGGGGTTGCATCCTGCAGCGGCCTACGCTACCGGCATTGCTCTTGGTGGCACCCAGTCTTCCATGCAAAGCCAAGCGCATGTCCCCATCATGATGCGTCCATGCTTTGGAGTACTGCCTATTACGGTCCTCAGCTGCTGCTGCGCCGCCTGCCTCCCCTGTTGCGTGGCGCTGATGCCTGTCTGCTGCTTCAACCGCGTGTAGGTGGACATCCACTTCGCGGGCAACAAGGTCTGGGAGGTATCTCCCAAGTCCAAGCCCAAGACCTACACCTTCTTCCACGTGAGCCCCGACATGGCGTGTGCGCGCAGCAGTGCGGGAGGCGTGGCACTGATGGTGAAGTAGTAGGCGGGCGGGCGGGGGGGGGTTTCTATATGAGGATGAAGGGTCAGGAGGAATCGACCCATGGGTCCGGCGGAGTGGAGAGTGTCATGACGCGCTTGGGCAATTTGGAGCGTACGGTTGGGGGCTGTGCCTTACTTGGCGGGTATTGGCGCTTGTGGCCTTCCTCTGATGTCTGTTTGCATGTCTGAAGTTAGCGTAGGAGCTGGGTTTTGGACGTTTGCTGCCAGCAGAGGAGTGCGCTAGTGCGTGGGAGCTAGTGAGTAGACACATTTGGAGAAGAGGTGGTGCTTACAGTCTCATGAGTTGAACAGGACAATGCAAAGAGGTACAAGAAATTCCCCATCCCATGTTCCAGTTCCGCTGGACCGTAGGCTACCCCTCATAAACTCAGCCGGACCCTATTGTTCAGCATGACCCACTGCTCGTAACCAACCAGGAATAAATGTCCACGCGTAACCAACCGTCACCAACCCTACTGAGTTGTTATTGGAATAGCGTCCAAGGTTCACATTGTTTAGGTATCGCGCTGTCGTTTTGATCGGCATTGGGTGCACTCGGCCGCCGCCATGCAACCGGTCACAGCGAGCGTACCCGCCACACGTGCCAGGGCAGCTCGGTAACTCGTTGTACGGAGAGCATGCAAAGCGGCAAACCGACGGCCCCCAGCGGTGCGGAGTTCGACATGAATGAGCGCGCATGAGAGTGTCAAAAAGGGAGCCCCTGCGGAAGTCACCTACCCACCACAAACCCCACCACACAATTCGCTCCGGTAAACCAAGCAGTATGTGCCTAAGGGTGTGTGCCTAAGTTGCGGCCCATCTTTGTTGCAGTGCTCCAGCGCTCCCCTGTTCGTGACGCCAAAACGGCATCTAACTGTCCCCTACCTCCTGCTCGCCAAACACTGCATACCCCTGAAAGATTGACCAGCGGTGCCTAGCTTCAGAGCGCCGAGCTAGCACAACTAACGGCCGTACAACACATCGAGGGCCAGTACGCCTCACTGCTGCCGGATCCTGCTAACCGCCTGCTCAGCACCTACACGGCGGGCATGTCCTGCTGGCGGCAGAAGCAGCGGCGCCGCCAACGCCAACGCCATTGCCGCCCGTGCGACCCACATTCATCCCGCCCCACGCCACCGACGGTAGCACAATGGGGTTGACGTTGGTGTTGGTGGCTGCCTTTCCGTCAGTGGCTGCTTTGCCGTCAGTGGCGGCGGTGTAGGGTGACGCGCGGGTGTCGAGTGTGGTGGCATCATCAGCGGCGCCGGCGTTGCTGCCGCCGACGGAACCGTTACCAGCAGCTTTAACACCCAGATTAACGCCGATGCCGCCACCGGATAATTGATCTAGGAGCGTTTGGATGGCTGCAAGCACGTCTGGATTGGCCATGGGGTCAGCGCCCTCAGCGGCCGTAGCTGCTTCTGTGCTTGACGGAGGCGACGACGCGGTGTATACACCTGATGAGTCACCAAGGTTGGTGGCGCCGTTGCCGTCATAGATCACATCGGTGAGGACTTGTGTCGCCGCCGGCCCTTCACTGGCGGTGACGACGGCGGCGGAGGCAGCGTCCGCGCTGCTCCTTGCAGGGACCGCTGGCGGAGGCGTTGCGGGCGGCTCGGGCGGCGGAACGGCACCCTTCTCTGCTGCCGTGGATGAGCGTCGTCGGGATGTCGTATCGTTACCGGCCGCCTTAACACCCTCCTCACCTTGCAGGCGACGGCGAGTAGTGACGTGTCCCTGCCGGACGCCGCCGGAAGGGGCAGCAGCTACACTGCCGCTCACCGCAATGAGTCGCCGCCGACCTCCGCTAGCGGCAAAGTCCTGCCGGCTGATTTGACCGCTAACAACGCTCCCGCCGCTATTGCTGCCACCACCGCTACGACCAGCGCTCGCTTCAGTACTGCCCTTGGCGGAGCCACCGCCGCCACCGCTGCCGGCGGATGCTGTACTACCGGTGGACGCGTCCGTACTGCCGGCAGCGCTGCTAGAAGCGGTACTGCCGCCGCCGTCGCCGCTGCTTCCCTTATCAGACGCCGCCGCGAAACGGGACAGCAGCGGCCGCGACGATGCAAGCCGACCGGCAAGCAGCTTGGCTGCTCCACTTCCCGTGGCGGCATTCCCCTCAGAAGACGACAAAGAGGAGCCCGCTGCGACAGCGTCGGCCAACGTCCCCAACGTCGACTGTTCCTCAGGCGCCGACTGTTGCATGGTGGTGACGTCGGCGCCGTCACTGCTCCGGAGCTTCAGACCGGTGCCCAGAGCGCCTCTGGGACCTACGCCGCCCAGCACCGCGGGCAGCGCACTGCTCAGGCCGTTGATGACGCCGTCCACCAGGCCCTTGGCTCCGGAGGGCTGCTGGGGACAGGTGCATGTGCAGCCGTCGGCGCCGTTGGGAAGAGTGACGGTTGCGGGCACCACGTTGACGTTGACATTTACTGGAGCGCAGGGTGGAAAGGCGGCGTGTGGGAAGGAGGAAGGATGGGGACTTAGGGATGAGGCGCGATTAAGGTCAGGCGCGAAAAAACGGATCCGAAAGCTGCCAGCATGCTACCCATGTGGTACCGGTATAGCTACCGGTATACTCCGCCTCTTGCCAGAGTGTAACCATGCCTCACCGTTTATATCTCGCCCAACATTCACTGTCGGGCCGTCCGTCTGCCGCTGGTTCGGATTCGGCAGCGGGGCTCGAACTCCCGTCCCCGCTGCCGCAGGAGTGCTCCCCAACGGCACCAGGCTTGCTGTACCTGCCGTACCGGCCGTAGCGCGAGTACTAACACCAATCTGTCCCGCAGCAGCAGCCCCCAAAGCATCAGTTGGCTGCTGCTGTTGTTGCTGCTGCTGCTGCTGCTGTTGTTGCTGATAGTACTGCTTTTCCTGCATCTTCTGCTGTTGGATATCTTGCAGGAGAGCTGCAAGGGCAGCAGTGGCGGCGGCGCTACTGTTCCCACCGGCACGCGGCAGTTCCTGCGCCGTAGCGGTTGAGGAGGACGTTGTTTCCGCCCCATTAGGTGCGCCGGTTAAGGAGCGCTGCCCACCGGATTGGTTGCCTTGGTCGCCTCCGCCGGCGGCTCGAAATGCTGCAGACGCTGCAAAGGTGGCCGTCGCGCCTGTTGCTGGTTGTACGGCACCAGAATCACCATCAGCGCTTCCGGCTGCGTTAACGCTGCCGGTAAGATCGGCCTGTACGGCCGCAGATGACTCAGCCTGTTTTGATGCCTTGATGTACGACACGAGCTGCTGCACGGCGGCTTGTACGGCAGCCTCATCGGTGGTGCTACTGCCGTCGCTCCTGCTGCTGGCGCCACCTTCAATGCTGCTGCTAGCGGCATCCGTGCTTGGAGGTTTAACACCTACAACAACCTTCACCACCTGCCTTCCTGTCTGCTGCTGTTCTTGCGGCTGCTGCTGTTGCGAAGCGACCACACTCTGATCACCCGTAACAATGCTACCACCATAGTCGTACGCTACGCTCCCGCCGCCGCCATGCGTAACAATCCCGGCGCCATTTCCGTACGCAACGCTTCCTCCGCCATTCCCGTACGCAATGCTTCCTCCGCCGCTGCCGTACGCTGCGGCGGCGGCAGCATTAGGATCCGTACCGTCCGTTGTCACAACGGCGACGCCAGGCGTCGCGTCGGTGGCAGCTGCTGGCGCGGACGGCGATAGGGCTGTGGTGGCTGAGTTGGCCAGCCAGCCGATCCAGCTTCCCAGGTACTGCCCCAGCTCCTGCTTGCTGTTGAGACCCACTGCGCTGAGGGCGCCGCTGGTGATGTTATTCATGTCGCCGACAACCTGTTTGAGTTGCCGGGAGCGGGACATGAGGGGAGGCAAGGTTGGTTGGGAGGAGGGTACCATAGGAAGAGGAGCAGGAGGAGAGGAGGGTGATGGCGACATGAGATGAAGTACCGCAACAAGACGCGGAGAGGAGCTGCCACATGCGTTTCCATGACTAGCGAGAAAAACGCGGAGCGCAAGTCAAGGGCGTATGAGGCGGCGTTTCTGCCCCGACGGCGCAGCGCACGGCATGCAGCCTACGTGCACTCGCCAGCAGCCCCCACCTGCTTTGCCACCTGGTCAGCGACCATCCGAGCCACCTTTTGCTCTACATTGATGGTAAGGGAAGAGGGTTTGGGCGACGAAACGAGCCGGGACGGAAGAAGGTAAGAGGTGTTACTCCGTGTCTTGCTATGGGTTGCGGCAGGCGCGCCACTTCCTTGCCCCAAATACGCTTCTAAACGTTCTTTGACAGCCACTGACCACGCACCCCATGCAGCTAGGAACAATCCACCTTGCCCCCCTGCCCCTCGCCTACCAACACCACTGGTGGAATCCTTGACCTGCTCCTTGATTGCATCGTGCACTTGGGACTTCACGTTGTTGACGACGGCGCCGCCGCCCACGCCCTTGCTCAGCACGCTTCCAAACACACCGCCGCCGGAGCTGCTGCCACTGCTGCTACTGCCGCCACTGTCACTGTTGCCGCCGCTGCCACTACCGCCGAGGAAGAGCAGGAGCCGCCGCGCTGGACTCCCGGCCGGCACCGGAAGTGTGGCTGTTGACGGTTGACTTGAGTCCGTACCGTGACGAGGTGCATGGTGATCGGTTACCTTGCCTGCAGCCACAAGACTATTTCGAATTAATATTGCGTAATAAAGGCCTCACGGATTTTTGCCAAAGTTGTGGCGTGGTAGGCTGTGGTAGGAAGTTAGTCAGCGTGAAGGGCGCAAAACTTTGACAGGACACGAAGGTGAAACATGGCCGAGAATTAATCATGCGCCTCACGATTAACACAGGTGAAGCGGAACGAACGACACAAATGCGTAGAAATGCGCCAACGGCCAACGCCCTCGGTTTGATTGCCTAACCTTGGAAGGTGGTACCAATCACCGCAAGTCTTAAACGCGACGCCGCACCTGCTGCTGCCGGGAAGATGAAGCTGGAAAGTATGCTAACTGCTATGAGCGTTGCGATGGACAGCTGGGATCGGCGCATCTCGCAGGTTTAATGGTATTCTAGGTTGTCGCGCATTGCGTCGCTTTTGCGGGTACCAGACCTTGGGTGCAAAGAGGAAATTGGGTAGCTGTAGGCGGTAGCTGTATCTTGCTGGTGCTCAAAAGAAGAAACGGAATAGCAAATTGCGACACAGGTGCATTGGCTGCGCAAGCTCATCCGACGGCGGCATACGTGACAGACGAAACCAGCAGCCCTCAAACCTTGCTAGCGCGAAGCACCCATCAGTCAGCTATACGAGCCCCGTACCTGCAAGACAGGCAGCGTATGAAACACAGCTTCGGGCTGACATGGAAGAAAGCTCTGAGGTGAGTCTTGCGGCGAGTCGTCAAGCTGGGCCAACTGTCTAGCCGCACGTCTTCCGTTGTTTCCTCCGGCATCGCGCCCGCTCTAACTCCTTGGCGCCTCCTCTCGCGCGCAGGGTTAAGAAATGTACTGCTGATGGCTGCTGAAAAGGTTAATGTGGGCTACGCATGGGCACACAGACGGCAACCGGCAACGCTCCCTTTTACAAACCGCTTCGTAGACCCGCAGTAACTAGGAGTGGTCATGTTATCTCGGGGAACCTATGTGCTGGCAAACACCTGTTAGCGCACCAATGGCCCTTTGCAACAAGCCCTGTTGATAGCGTGCCTCTGGGGATCTTCACTGGCGCAGCAGGGGTTAAATCCCGCATGCTGCGGTTTGGATATCATTCCTAGTGACCCATGGGTCACTGGAGGCAGGTGACTGCCCCAGGCTGCTGCCAGGTACTGCTGCTTTATCATGAGCCATGACAAGGGGGTGCTCAAATCAGGACGCTTGTTACAAGTTCTCAGTACAGCTTTGGTCAGCCAGCCATAAGCGCTTTATGTACAGTTTGTATGTATAGGGAGGTGTATCTCTCAAGGCGAAGCTAGCTCGGCATGTGTCCCACGACGCACCCCTCTCTCACAGCCAGGCCAGCATCTAAACCAAACTCCTCGCAACCAGACCAGACATCGTACACGAACGCAGCAGCAGTGCTATGCATGAGGGCATTAACGCCTGTTAGGTAGGCAGCAAATTGTGGAGCCCCGTCGGTGCGCTTCACCGCCCCGCGCGAACGCGGGGTGCGCAGATGGCATGTCTCAGCCAGCTATCTATAGCAGCAACAGGTTATAGTAAACCGCAGCGACCGCACACACCGCACGCCTTGCAGCGCAGATGCAGCCTTGGGAAAGGACTGCCGACAGGAGACCAACATGTAATGAAACGTAACAACAGACAGCATGTATATAGCAAATGATGCACAGCGCTTCGGTCTTCTACGCATTGCTGCGCTCGCGGTTGGTCAGTGTTGCAACTGTCCTAACCGCAATGAGTCAGCCAAATTTCGATGGATTACTATCAGAACAAAAAAATCCGTCTAGCCTAAGCAGCGAAGGGCAATCAAAGTGAAGGCAACTATCAAGCAAGAAAGGCGCAACGAAGAATGCTGGCAATATGCATGGCAAAAGAAACACACAAAAGGCGGTCTCAATTGACCTTCCTTTTCATCAAGTGGGTCCATCAACTAACTAGCGCCTCTAATCAACAAATGTTAACTAACAAACCACCACCAAAGCCGCATTCGGGACTGCTCCCTTCGCGACTACGGTTCACTGAGGGCCCGGTGGCCCACCGAAACCTTCAATGTAAGCATATTTCAGGTACTTGTATCGGCCCAGCAGCTAGCTGAACCTCTTAAACTGATCCACCAACAGAACTTCATCCCCTCATCAGCCTCCATATCCGAGTTCAATTACCACGCAAGGCTTCCAACCAGGTTGCCGTCATCTGCCGGGTCGCCCATCGCAGCAACAGCGGCCTTGTTAAATGCCGGGCCACTCCACTGATCCCATCCCAGGACCTGCAGCGACCGGTCATTGGCTCCATCCCCTTCCTGCACCGCAGCAACCGCCGCCCCCTTCGACGGCGAGGTCACACCAGCGGGCGACGTTGCTGCTGCCGGCATCGGCACTGCCTCTGCGATTGATGCAGGCGAGGCGACAGCGGTCCCCTGGGGGGCATCCGCTGGCCGCATGCCCGCGCCTGCGGACCTCTTGTTCGCCTCCACCACAACCACCGCTCCCTCCGTCGCCATGGCCTCCGACAGAAGCCTGCCAATGTTGCCACCGCCGACGCCATTGCTACCGCCACCGTTGCTGCTACCGGCGCCTGGCGTTGCTGCCGGGGTTGTAGCGGCTCCAGAGTCGCTGATCCGGCCACTGCTCCAACCACCTGAGCTCAGCTGACCCAAGCCCGCCAGGGAAATGGAGCGAGAGGCCGCTCGAAGCAGCGGCAAGGGCGGCAATACCGGCTGCTGCTGCTGAGGTTGCTGCTGCTGAGGCAGTGCGGCCGAGGCTGCTGGTGTGGTGGCGAGGGAGGAGCGAGGGTTGGAGGTGGTGGGAGTGGGAGTGGGCGCTGTGGCGAGGGCTGCTGGAGAGGGCGAGCGTAGTGCAAGCGAGGGAGGGTGTGGCGTGAACACGGCAGCTGTGGGAGTTGTAGCGACCTGCTCCGGCGAACGGCCCAAGTGCGCTGGTAGCGGCTGTGGGTGCTGCTGGAACGGCGGCTGAGAAGAAGGTGGAGTGGGTGAGCGAATGGGCCCTCCCGCAGGCGTAGCAAGAGCAGCAGCAGCAGGAATATGAGTCGGAGTTAGCTGTCGTGACGCCGGCGGCGTCGGCGACGTCACGACACCGTTCGCATCAACCACCGGCAACGAAGCAGCCACCTCGCCGCCGCTCACATCCAACTGCTGTGCCGAACTACTATGCCGTACCGCCGTCACCGTCCGACGCTGCTTCACTCCACCACTTCCCGCCGTCGTCGTTGTCGGCGGCGCCGCCGCCACTGGCGTCGTTGCCACTGCTGCGGCCTCTCCCGCCGTCACCGCCGTCAGCAGGCTGCGCAGGCGGCTCACCTCGTGTCTCAATACATCGTTCTCCCGCAGCACTTCCGCCGCGTGCCGCCGCATGCCGCTGGTCTGCTCGGCCAGCGCCGCGTTCTGCTCGTCCACCTCCTGCAGCGCCTCGCGGAGCGCTCGGCTGTCTTCATGCGCCTGGCGGTGGGGGGGTTGCGGAGTTGGAGGAGGAGAAGGGGAAAGGAGGCAGTGGGTGTATGTTAAGGCACTGTTGGACGGCGATATGAGCAGCGTGAGCAAGGTGCTAACGAGCATGGAGGGTATTGCTTGGGTGACACAAGCTCTACTACAAGGCGATATGAGCACAAGGAAGGAAGCACCGGCAGCAGCAGCAACCGCATCCAAGTGCGGCCACCCACCTCCAGAAACAGCGCCCTCATCTGCTCCAACTGCGCCGCCAGCTCCTCATTCTCCGCTACCAGCCGCGAGGTGCTGGCAGCAGTAGCAGCGGCCGCCGCGGCAGCAGCAGCCACAGCCTCCAGGCCGCTGCTTTCCGAGGTAGACAGCAGCGAGCAGTGAGCAGCAGCAGCAATGCGACCGCTGGCGACACCGCCGTAGGCAGCGCTGAAGGGCGAGGGCGAGGGCGCGCCGGGTGTGGTGTTGGCGGTCGTCGTGGCGGTGTTGGTGGTGGTGGTGGTGGTGGTGGTGCTGCGGTGTCGCGTGGGGCTGGCGTAGGTGGAGTTGGCTTGGGCGTAGGGGCTGCAGGTGGGGCGGTGGTGCGAGGGCGCCGCGCTCTTGGAGGCTGAGGCGGCAGCCGCGGCGGCTGCGGCAGCTGCTGCGGCTGCGGTGCGACGTGCCTCCTCTAGCTGCTCCTGCAGCCGCATGATCTGCACGGCAGGAGAGGGCGACGAGCATGCATGCGCCCAATACTTCAGCCATCCAGTCCTCATGTCCCACAGTTATGCGCATCCTACGCATACTTTACAAGGCAACTTGACAAACAGCCCAGCCTAACATGCCCAGATTGCAATTGGCAGCTAACCCGCACGCTCCCACCGCAACCCCACCCACCGTCTGCCCCGCCCTGGCCTCCGCCGCCGCCAGCCTCGCCGCGCCCTCCTCCGCCTCCGCGCGGCTCTCGCCCAGCTCGCGCGTCAGCTCCCTGCACAGCCGCACCGCGCGACCCGCCATGAGCTCGGCGCTGTAGCGGGCGGCCGCGTACTGCCGCCACAGCAGCACCACAGCGGCCGCCTGGCTGGGAGGCAGCGAGCCCACCAGCGCCTCAACCGGTGCAACATCCTGCGCGTGCGAGGAGTGCGGAGGGTGCGGTGTGTCAGGTGTGGAAAAGAGGCAACGGAGGCGGGACCTTGGAGCTTGCTTGGAGGGATCCTGGAGTCAGCTTGAATGTACCGTAGGACTTGCGGCGGGGTGCGTCGCGTTAGTCCCGTGTTTCCTCTTTTCGGGAGCCAATGTAACGGTCATTCATTCAGTCCCAGCGGTCCTCACCTTGCGGCCGATGGGCGGGTAGATGTACCAGCGGCCCTGGCTGCTCGGGTTCCACTTGGCGGGAGCAGCCCAGCCAGCGAGCTCCTCGTCGAGCTCCGCAACCACCTCACGAAGCTGCTGCTCGTACGGCGGTTGTTGCTGTTGCGGGGTGTCGTACGGTTGATGGGCGGAGCCGGGGGGAGGCGATGGGGCGTGCCTGCGGGAGCACGGAGGGAAAGATTTGAGGCGAGAAGCAGAACGCGGATTCGTAGCAATGGAGTAGCGTAAGCCGAATTGCCTTTGCCCTGGTTCCTTATAGTGTAACCGGGCTTACCTCTGCCGGCTGCCGCTGCGGCCATCTGCCAGGCGATCTAGGTTAAGGGGCGGTACACCGGCGGGACGACCACACCTGGGGGCCAAGAGGAGGTGTGTAGGGCAGCGTTAGGAAAGCGTAGATGCCAGTTGATTATGCATTTTTAACGACAGGGGAAGGTTGGTTGAGAGTAAGATAGAAGGGACATGCTACAGTGCGCGCGGTGTTGTGACAAGCTCACCTGCGTGCACTCAAGCCGCCACCGCCACTGCTGTTGCTGCAGTGGCTGCTGCCGCCGAGGCTTGGGGTCAGGCTGCTTGGGTACAGCGGGCTGCCCAGATGGCGCAGGACCTGACGGGTTGCAAACAGGAGTGGTCAGTTGAGCACAGGCAGTGCGCTCGAAGTCGCGGTGGTGATAGCAAGACCGCAGCATAAATTATACGGAAGCCAGATAGCCCCCAATTTCATGTAAACAGATTTTACAGCACAGACGTATGCCCGCCTGTCAACGCCGTTCCTGGGATAGTTCAAATCTAGCCCGTCAACTATTGGATAGCTGAACATTGATGGCAGCTTTCCGCATTTTTGCGTAACTCACCTCGCTGGCCCCAGCATCACTCCTAACGGGCTCAGATCGCGGGCTGCCCCAGCTTTGTTGAGCTGCGAGAGCAGCTTCGAGGCTTTGTTGTGGCGGAGTCAAACCACCCGAGCTGATGTTGTTTCCGACGTTTGAAACGGCGGTTGGAGTGCTTTCTGAAATTGTTACGGCATTTTGATGTGGTGGCGGTTGCGGTGGTGGTGTAGGCGTCGGTCGAGATGGTGAAGGTCTCTGAGATGGCGGCAAGCCGCGGCTGAGCTCGAAGGGACTGCATGCAAAAGAAATTAAGGACAGGTCACCTCGATGTTTAAAAAGCAATGGAGATGGTTATGGCTCGCCCTGGCGCAAGAGGCTATTCTCTTTATGATAGCTAGATGGCGCCTCGACTTCACAGCGCGCACAGCTTTGAACCGGTTACGCAGTGAAATATGCCTAGAAAGCAAAACCTTACAGCTTGCGGAGTGTCTAGCGCTCAATTGGTGGGTTCAGTTGGGTCCGAGCTGGGTCGCGGGCGACAATGGACGCACCTCACACCGGTAGACGTCCTTCCAATCCGGTCCTGCTGGTCGGTTTGCTTTCCCTGCACAATGAATTTTAACTCCCAGGTTAAATGTTGCAAGACTTCGACATAAGGCCGCACGCGTCTTGCATGTAATCGTGGCTGTAGCCGCGCACATACCTGGTTGGGAGTATCAAGGATGACTTGCCCATGAATTGGAGAAGGCGACTTCTCATGCTTAATCTTGCCACCAGACAGCCGCAGCCTGCGAAGTGGAACGCGAAAGCGACGTCAAGCGCAGTCCAGCAGCTAGACGCCGGTAGTGCGCCCTCCCTATCTGCTGCTCAAGTTGCGCACCGGTCACTTACTTTGTAAGAAGAGACTTGATGATCGTGGTCTGAGCAACTTGCTGCGGTCGGAAGTGTTTGGCGTGTTATTACAAGTTTGGCTGCTGCCGACCTGCTACCGCTCCACACAAGCAGCGCTTCACTGATAATGTTACAGCATACCTGGTCACCAATGCGCTCTTCGGTTTCCATCTTTAACAAATTTACGCTTAACAAAGAACCTGAACGCTCATATCCAGTAGTGGTTCGCGGCTTTGGACGATACTTTATAGTCGGTATCAATTACTGGTATCAAGATGATTGAGAATAGCAACTTGTAGAGTGAGTCTATCTGTTAGGCACGGAACAGCAGAGTATATTTCTATCTGAGCTGTACGGCTGTACGAAGGTTGACCCAATGCAAGAGCGTGAGGTTGGCCCGAAACAGCACGTTCATTGGTTCTAGGTAACAGACAACGCCTCCGTTTCCAAGCTGTTGCTACCAAAAGAATTCGTTGCGTCAGCTGTCCAGACTCCGATACTGTGGAAGCCTGCAACGCGGAACTTTAACAACTAGCGACAAATATGTGCGCATCAATGATGTATCAGCACCTTCCATCAGTAATTGGCATCGTTGGCAGTGGCCAGATGGGGTGTGGTAAGTGTCGTTTAAAAGAGCGCGGCCTTTAAAAGAGCGCGGCCTTTACTGTAAGGAAGAATTGCTTGAGTGCTTGATCCCTGCGCCGTTGGTCCAAAAGTGGAAAGGTACTACCGTATGCCTTGCCATGGGTGGGTTTGCAGTGCATTGCATTTGCAAGGGATTAGGCTTCGCGAGCGACAGGAACGATGTCAGGAGTACTGCCCGCGGAGTCCTTAGTAGTAGAGCCTCTGTGGTTGCGTTAGCTCTCAATCAGCATAGTTCACGGTGCCTTCTTGCTGAGTCACAATGCTATCCTGTCCTTTTTGCTCTTACCGGCACAGGCCACACAGCCCGTTTGCAGAAGCCACCCTGTTACACTGTTCTGTGACATCGAAGCATAACCACGAGTTGCAACTCCTGCTCTTCTTCCTAACCACCGACGCTCCTCCACCCTTCCAGCCGTTGAACCCTCGCGGTGGCCCCATCAGCGTAAGCCGCGATCACTTCCCATTCTCTCCTTCTCCCAGATCTCTGAAACCTCAATGCCACGTTTCCCTGTTCGCCCTCCCTCAGACTGTCCCTCCGATCCTTCTACACCAAAGTCCTCCAACCCCTCCGCCTTCCTTACCACCTCCTCCTCTCCCTTTCTCCCCAACAGCTCCCCTCCCATGCTATCCCTCCCTCCCATTTGCTGCCTCCCCCTCCATCCTCAGCTCAACGCCGCCCTTTCACCTTCCTTCCTAGCCCTCGTTCGTCTTCACCCCACTGCGACCACGTCCACCCAACTACCTCCCCTCCCAACCCTTGCTCCTCTCCCTCACCCTTACTCCTCATCCCTATCCCCATCCCACTTCTCCCTCACCCACCTCTCACCTCAACTCCTATCCCCTCCATCTGCCTCTTTGTCCCAACCTTCTCCTTCCCAACTCCTCCTCCGCCTCCCCCACCCACCCACCCACCCCAGGTATCGCCCAAGCCATCGCCCAGCGCGGCCTGACCGTGCTGCTCAACGACGCCAGCCCAACCGCCATCGAGAAGGGGCTCAACGGTGTCAAAAAGGCGTTGGAGCGGCTGGTACGGAAGGGCACGGTGGCTCCGGACGATGCGGCGGCGACACTGGGTCGCATCCACACCTCTCATGGCAGCGTGGAGGTGGGGGGCCGGCGGCGGGGTGGGGTGGGGTGGGGTATTGGCGGGCTGTAGCGGGAGGTCATGCCGGGAAGGATGGCCTACTACTTGAGTCAGAAGAGCAAGCAAGAGGGAGTCATATTGGTAATTGCGCACTGTCCTCTCCTGCCCTGCCCCCTTCTCCCTCCCTCCCCCTCCCCCCCCCCTCCGCCCGCCTGCCCCCCCCCCCCCCCTCAGGCCCTGCGCGGTGCGGACTTCATCATCGAGGCGGTGGCGGAGGACGAGGCGCTCAAGAAGGAGGTGTTCAGGAACCTGGACAAGGTGGGGAGGGAGGGGGAGGAGGGGAGGGGAGGGGTGAGGGTGGGGTGGGTGGTTAGGGGGATTAGATACACTGAGCCGCGGGGGCCACGGGTTGGGTGTATGTGCACCTAGGAGGGGTTGCAGGCAGCAGGCGCAGGAGGCCCCAGCGTTGGCCCTCCCTGACGCCATCCTGTCTACATGTGCGCTGCTGCTGCCACGACAGGCGGACTGGGTGCTGCGACGGCGGGGCCCGCGTGCGTCATGTCCCTCCTCCCTCATTCCCCGTCCTTAACCCCAGCTCCCTCCCCCCCTCCAGGCCACCCGTGTGGGCACCATCCTGGCCTCCAACACCAGCTCCATCTCGATCACCCGCATCGCGTCAGCAACCACCAAGCCGCACCGAGTGGTAGGGAGGGGGAGGGAGGGGGAAGGGGAAGTGGGCGTCTTACGGGGCAGGAGTCCAGGATGGCGTACTTGCGACCCTGAAGCTTAAGGGTAACACTGTTTCTCACCTCTATCCAAGTAATGCCCGCCCCGTTAACATCCCCTACCACCACCACCGCCCCCCCCCCCAGGTTGGCATGCACTTCATGCACCCCGCCACGGTGGTGCCGCTGGTGGAGGTGGCCAAGGGCATGCACACCAGCCAACAGGTTGGGAAGTGGGGGGGAGGGAGGGGGGAGGGCTGCGGGGGCGGCACGGGTTCTTGGAGGGGTGCTTCGAGGGGGCGCCGAGCTGCTCGGCTGTCAGGCGCATGCAGCGGTTGCATGGGCAACAGGGCACCCCTCACACGCCCCCTTCCTGCACCCGCCTGGCGTACCAGCCCGCACCCTTCTTGGCCTCACAGCCCACCACAATGCGCACCTCGCCTCCCATCTCCGCTTCTCACACAGCTCGTTAGTTTCCTCTTAAGTGTCCTTATCTTTACCCCACCCCCACCCCCACCGCCCGCAACCCCCCCCCTCCAGACCTACGAGTCCGCCCGCTCCTTCGCGGAGCACCTGGGCAAGACGGTGTGCGTGTCGCTGGACCGCCCCGGCTTCCTGGTGTACCGCCTGCTCATGCCGCTCATCAACGAGGCCTTCTTCCTGCTCAGCGAGGGGGTGGGCACGGCGGAGGACATCGACCGATCCATGCGCCTGGGCACCAACATGCAGGCGGGGCCGCTGCGCATGGCGGATAACATTGGTGGGGGTTGGGGTGGGGGGGGGGAGGAATGGGGGAGGGGTGTGGATGGGGTGGGTGGAGAGGTGGTGCTAATAGCGTGGTGTGTTTGGGGGCGCGGTGCGCAGCAGGCCGCCACTCGCACCGTGGCTGCTGCGGGTTCGTCCATCACATCCGCTCCACTTTACATCACTCCGTGGAAGTACGCTGGAAGTCCCTGGGCACCTCCTCTTCCTCCCGTCTTCAGGTCTTGCTGCCGTCCCGTTGTCCCTCTTGCCTTGCGCCCCCTCCTCCTCAACCCCCTTGCAGCTTCCGACTCACATACCTCGAAACTCCGTGCGCCGCACCTTCCTCCACCCCTACTTACAGCAGCTCCCCTCGCCGTGTTCCCTTCCCTCTCCTGTCAGCTTCCTCTTTTTACCCCCACAACCAACGCATTGGGTATCCTCCCTCCCTCCCCCCTCCCTCCCCCCCAGGTCTGGACACCTGCCTCAACATCATGCGCACGCTGTACTCGCAGTTCGGCGACCCCAAGTACCGCCCCTGCCCGCTGCTGGTGCAGTACGTGGACGGGGGACTGCTGGGGGTCAAGAACGGGCGCGGGGTGTTCCAGGTGAGGGCGGGGGAGGGGGGGGGTGGAGTTGGGGAGAAGGGAGGAAACTGCCGAGCTGTGGTGGAGGTATGAGGGTTGGTGGGGGCTGGTGGGAAGGGTGGGGGCTGGCGGACTGGGGTTGTGCGTGTGTGCCCTTATAGGGGTAGCGTGCATGTGGGGGTGGGAGGCACAGTAATACGGATACCGGGATACGGGATACCTAATAGGATGACGACGGAATTGGAAGAGTGCTTCGTCCCCATCCTAACCTCCCCTTGTCCTTCACCCCCCCCCTCCAGTACGACCCCTCCATGCACGACGTCGTGCACGCGCAGCAGCCGCACCTCAACATCTCCGGAAGCACCCGCTCGTCCGCCTCCTCCACCTCGTACGGCATCTGAGATGTAACAATCTGCCATAGGAGGGTACGACTCTGTCGTACGAGGCCCATTGGGTTACCGATGGCGGTGACTTGCAAAGCTGTCGCACGTCATGCCGCTCTGCGGGGCTTTGGTGGGCCGTGTGTGGTGGGCCTCCCTGAAGATGATGTGCATACACGGGAAGATGTGGGTCTTTAGGCATGTTTGTAAAGAGGAGGAGGAGGAAGATGGGGTGGCGCCGGGTGTGCCGTGCGGGTCCTCCTGGTGTGTTTGTTTGTTCGTTTGCCTGGATGTGTGTAGGGGGGTAACATGAGGAATACACCTGAAGATTATGTTGTGCATGCAGCAAGGTGATAGCAGGTCTGGCGTTTCGAATTCCTTACGTGTTGAGGAGGTGTGAGTTGCTGCATGTCGCCTGCTGTTCAGTCCAGGAGGCAGCGCCGAGGACGGCAAGGAAGCGCTAGATATTTAGGTGACAGCTGCTTGCATGCATCCCTCCAGGATGCGCCCCACGTCTTTTGTCCTTTCCGGTAATTGAAGAGGTTACGTACCTCAAGCTCTTAGGGAGCACCCAAGGCTTGAGGGGGTTTCGTGCGTGCAATCATGTTGGGTAGTAAGGACATCAGGGTTGACCCATGGGTCGGGCGTCATGCCCCCTTGCATGCAAACCTGAGGACATCCCCGAGGTATCGATACACCGATATCCTACGTTCGATTATATCGTGCACGGTTGGCAATCAACTGATCGCTTCACCTGTTTAATTCTCTCTCTGTCTTCAGAAGGGCTTCGGAAAGTAGGAGAGTAGTGTTTGTCGGGGTGCTGTGGAGGGGGACAGCTGTCGCACTACCGTCAGGTTGGTTCCAATTGGAATGCCGGGTAAGGCTCTTATACTAACAACTGCTATGGTAGGCCGTCTTGGGCCCTCCATTCACAATTCCGGGGGTCTCTTGCCTTGCTAGTTGCCACAACCGTCCGTATGTTGAGGGTTGACAACAACAACAACAGCAAGCGCACACATTGCGTTTGGGCCAAGCAAGGGCCTCCGTCTCTAGTGTACGACAGATCTCGAGATTGTTTCGTGCCGACGAGCACTATATCTCTCATACCCTGTATTATATGTAAGAAAAGCTGTCATGCGCTGCAGTACAATTGCCGAGCACGTGGGGGTCACGTAGGCGCATGCCGTGAGCGCGTGATGCAGACCGTGGCAGGTGTCATGCAATATGGCACGTAGGACACACAGTAGGGCACAACAAGAGCAGACTGACTCTTACATCGTACACAGGTACGACACCCTAAAAGAACCGTTTGCCTAGGTAGAGTACGATACAAGTTCTGGGGCTGCGAATTACTAAGAATACCGATATACGCAATCACACAAGTGCCCAACAGAGATACAGGTGTGCAAAGCTTGGCTCACATAAGCCAGCCAACTTGAGCCTGCAACCAACTACTAACAAGCCGTGCGAGAGTTCATTCCGATAGCGAAACTGTGCATGTACCGCATATTGCATGAGCAGTATATCACTTTGCGTGCGAAATACAATGTTTGGAGACGCGCTGCAGGTCACGTCACATCCCTACCCGTAACGCTCACGCCAATAGATAGGACAAGATAAACACGCCGGGACCCACCACGTAACATCGGCTAAGCTGTTGCGCGCATCTCTGATCACCTGTGTAAACAGGGGGCGGCACTCCCGCCAAAGCCCCATCGCAATCACCTATAGCTCAAGAATCACAGCTTGGCATGAATGTCCAGCGCAAGTCCTAAATGGTAGCATGACGACAGAATAACATATAACTCCTGCGCAACTCTGTGGCACAGCTGCTTTAACACAAGCGCTTCCAGCCAAATTCACGCGCCCTACACCGGCTTACCTCCACCCTTTCATGCACAGCGTGCCCCACAACCTAGGCACGACACATTTCCCTTGGCGGCGGCGCCTCAGCAGCAGCGGGCTGCCCGCGCCTACACCACCGCCTGCGCGGTGACCTCCACCGCACCACCACCCAGCAGCACCTCCGCACCCTTCGCCGGCTCGCCCTCCTCCGCAACCGCAACCGCCGCCGCCTCCGCAGCAGCAGGCGCCTCCTGCTGCAGCATCTCCAGAATCGCCTCCTTGTTCTTCACCAGCATGTAGGCTGCGTGGTTGGTCATGAGGCCCACCAGCTCGGGTGTGTAATCCATGGCAAAGGTGGACACAAGCGGGAACTCCCGGAGCGTGTCGGCGTCAAAGGGGTTGAGCCCCTCCTTGAGCTGTAGGGCGCGAACCAGGTAAGGCCAGTGTCAAACCATGTGAGGACATGACCCATGGGTCGCAGGTTACTTAAAGGAGTCCAAACATGATAGAAGCTTGAGGCCCTCGCGGGTATGATGCACGAGGAGGCGGGTGAGAGGGCGGAATGCAACCCAGCAGTGCGGAAGGGTGTCATGCATGTTCATGTGATTATCTTGTTCGGTTGCAGTTCGGGGCCGCCTAATGGCAACGCCGTTGTTACTGTTACCGGCGTCTGCCTATCTATATACGCCGGGCGACATCACTTCAAGCTGCGTCGCTCACGCTGCTGCCGCGTGCACAAACGTACGGTGCGCAGTCACGAAGTCCCCCACCCGCAGCAGCAGCAGCGCACCCACCTTGACCCCCAACGAGCTCCGCTCGTGTTGCAGCCTGTCCCGCGTCTCCTGGGGCAGCGCCGCCTCCCACTGAGACTGCGCCTCATTCACCACCCACATGACCCGCACACGCCAGCCGCCGCGGACTCCCATCTCGCGGTTCTCCAGCACCTGCCAACGACATGGCCAAGTGACGTGGGTCAACGCCATGGTGAACAAATACGGGCAGTACGGGTCGTTAGTGTGGCAACATCGCAATCTTCCCGACAATAAATAGGGTCCAGCAAGCCAGGAACGCCTCAGTGATGCCGGAACCATGACAGAGTCATGCCGGCTGCAGGGGCGGATGCACTATACACTCCATAGCTCCCCTTTTGCCCCTGCCACAAGCCAGCTCCTCCCTTTTGCCCTCCCCACTCACATCGTACTCGGCCACGTGCACGCAGGGCAGACCCGCCTTCTTCTTCGCCAGCAGGGCCGCATGCAGCTCCGCAAAGCCCTCCTTGCGGAATACCTGTGCGACGAGGAGGGAAAGCGGTGCGACAATTGTGAGATCCCACCCGCCTTCCGAGTTCTCACACTGTGTAATCTATTAAATGCAGAACCAGGTAGGACAGGGCAGCTGCCACGCAGGATCGCAGCAAGCATTCCGTGTCCCCGCTCACGTGCGGGTCATGTATCCCTATTCGTCCCCACTCGCACGCACCCCCCCAGTTAGCTACCTGGCGCTGCTTGTTGAGCGCGTCCGTGCCCAGGCCCTTCTCCTTGGGGTTGCCGGGCCAGCAGCCAAACAGCTGGAGGCGGTGATGAAGGGAGAGAGGGAAAGAGAGGCAGAGGGAAGGAGACTCAGGGAAAGCAGATGCACTGGGGGAGGCAGGAGGAAGCAAGGTAAGGGCTAAGGAGGCGGTGCCGTGCAGTGGAAGGGATAAGGGATGTGCCCCGTTCGAAACAATTGGAAAGTAAGCCCCGACTACCGGTAGCTCGTAAACGCTTCATCGGACATAACATGCAAGATGCAACACAATATTTCCCGAGTCGGAGGCCGGCGCCTCTTACCGCAGGCAAGTCCTTCATCTCCCGCGCAAAGTTGGGGTCCTCCACACTCGTGCTGCGGGATGGGGGAAGGGGGAAAACATCAGCCTTTGAAGCTCAACTACTCAACAAGCTAGCAAAGGCAAGCGTTGCGGCCGGTTCCCAAGCACCGGTACCGACATGACATACCGCAGAGCTCTTCCACCACGTTCTCAGGCATAACACACACGTAACACACACATACGTACATAGCTATGGTCAGTACAGTTACGCGACCCAGTCACTTCGCCTTAACACATGCACGTACACATCAACCCCATGTTACCCGTGTTCTCTCCTTGAATGTAACGGCTACACTGTAACGGCTACTCATTCATTCAAACTGACCAAGCAAGGACCTGGAAGGACTCACGCGGTTGCGGACAGCAGCAGGATGTTGGGCACCCGGCGGCGGAGGGCGGGGTAGACCGCGTGCAGGTCGGTGCCGCCGCCGTCAGACTGCTCCAACACGCTGCTGTTCCAGGTCTGGCAGGAAGGTGGGGAGAGGGGTGGTGGTTACGAGGTGTATGGAAGAGGACGACATTTGGAAGGCGTATGTGTTAGCTTGCTAGGAATGTCAGCATACGTGCAAGGGTGAGCAGCGAGTAAGCGCAACACATACTTCGAGCCAGGCGAACATACGGGGATCGGGTCTAAAAGCAACCCTGTCTGCAGCTGGCCAAGGAGTCGTGAATGCAGTCACAAGAACCCGTAAGCACCACGAGTGAGCAAAAGCTAGAAAAACAGCGCAAGGTTGGCGACCCTCAAGCAACATAAAAGATATAACCCTTCCGACTTCCAACACATGCGAAGGAAGCAGTGCAGGACCTGCCTGCTGGTCGAAGTAGTGGGCGGTGTGGAAACCAAGCTTCTTGTGCAGCTTCTTGCCCTTCTCCGTCTTGCCCAGCGCCCACACAAGGCTGTTGTAGGCGGAGCTGATGCCGATGGCTTCACCCAGGGAGGCTGGACCCATGGGTCGGACGGTAATGGTTGCGCTGCTACCCGGCTTGACCTCCTCCTTTGGCTGCGGTTGGTGACGGTAGTGGTGTTATAGACATGGGGGAATGGGAGAGTGGAAAACATAGGGGCTTATGAGGTAGTTATGGCCCCCATGTTCTTGCGAGCAACTGGATTTTGCATTCAGCCCTGTAACCGCTTCAGTTGTACACCGTGCACATCCTGCTTCCTCCCTCCCCGCCCCCGCACCTTGTCCAGCAGCTGCGCATTGAGCCCCAGCGTCTCCACCCAGCCGCCGCCCAGCTTGGGGTCGGTGGTGCCGTACGGCACCGGGCAGCCGCCGTACAGCGGGGTCCACTCGAAGGGGTAGTACAGCGCAGCATCATTGGGCAGCAGCACGACCTACGTGACACGTTAGGCGCAGGGGCGTCACACAAGTCAGCCGGGAGGGACAGACATGCCATGGCTCCATTCCGATAAGCCAGTAGGTGCGGACGTTTCGAGGCGATTCCGGAAAACTCCATGTAAGTCAGCTGATATGCGAAAGGAGTTGCTAAAAGTGTGGTAGGAAGGCTCAGAAGCTCTTCATCCTAGATTGTTTTGCAGCAAGCCCACAATCCCATTACAAACGGTTATCGCCGCGGGCTCCCCACTGGAAACCCGCTTCAGTACCTGGCATATGATGGGGAAGGGCAGGTCGGGGTTGCTTTGCGTGTACACGGTGCCCCTGCCCGCCTGCCCCGCCCGCTCCGCCACGCTCCGGTGCACCTCCCCGCGTGTGCCGGTGATGGTGACGGTGCTGCTGTCCGTGTTGCCCAGACCAAACGGCTCCAGGAAGGCGCCGGACATGGCGCGAGTCCACATGCGCGCCTGGACGTACGGCATCAGGAAACATGCGGAAGCGTTCATTCTTTGTTCAGAAGCAAGACAAGAACAATAGCGGTGTGTTGCAGACACGTTGACGCACGTGCCCATGTTGACGCACGTGCCCATGCATTGCACATACACAGAAAGGTGCAGCAGAAGATAGCAGGAACGCTGCCTACAATCAAGACCACGGACGCCTACAACACAACACAACACAACACAACCGACAGTATCGTTGTCCACCCAAGCCAAGCCACTCACCTCCTCCTCCACGTCCTTCGTCCTGAGCAGCAGCTTCCCGCCCAGCCGCTTGACCTGACCCTTGAAGTAGTCCCGCAGGGGGGTGCCGTCAGCAACCACAGCCGCGTAGCAGCGGTTGCTGACACCCACCTGCACCAGCACCAGTAGTGGTGGCAACAGCGGCGTCATCATGTTCCGTACGACTCACAGCACAACTCTCCTCACCACAGTTCCAAACCCGTCGGTTACATGCTACTGGTACGTAACCCGCATAAGCCACCACAGTAGCGGCTATATATCCAGCACGCCCTCGATATCACACCAGGGCTCCTTCCTTCACAACCACCAGCCTCCTCCTCCTTCTCTTCAGGCGAGCTCTTCATGTTCCCTCCCTCCCTCACACACACCTCTTCCTCCCTCCCCCCGCCCCCACCTCCTTGACCGCGTCCAGGGAGCACTGCTCGGGCGGCAGGTAGGGCCCCAGGAACTCGGACACGTCGGACACCTGCTGGAAGCTCAGCGCGGCACCAAGCCAGGAGGAGCCTGGAGGTGGTGGAGAAGGGACAGCAAGGGGGCGGGGGCGGGAGAAAGAAAATGGTGAGGCACGTGATCCAGAAGGGAGCGATGCATCTGCGTCATCAGTAAGCACGCTTGGAGAGGCGAAGGGTGAGGTACAACACGGTGGACTTACTAGGAAAGGTAAACCTTAAGGAGTTGTAGCACTCCCAGACAGATATTCGTGGAAATAATTTGGGCCTTTTTTCGCTCCCTCCATACCCCTCTCACGGAAATGGCTTGTTTTCACTCGTTTTTTTGAATGGTGCTGTCCGCTTCGGAAGGCGCGGCCTATAGGCGAAGAACTACCCACCCGTACTGTTTGCTCGCACAGTCAGGGCGCAGACAATAAAAGGAAGCCCTCATAATGTAGTACTTGTTTTCGGTCTGCTGTACACAGCTTTGCTGTCAGTCAAGGGTGTTCACTTTTAGTCATGTTCCCCCTGGGAGTTGTCTCCAAGCTTCCGGTAGCTAGCATAACATGTCTATACGAGTGTTGTCAACAATGTTTCCCGGGTGTAGGGAGCTGTGCTCCCCTTTAACGGTGTACGACAGCCACGGGCCTCTAGTAGGGCATGCTTGGCCGCATGCCTGCCATACACACACTGGCTGCAGTACCATACCTTGTTTGTAATTAATCCAACAGCTACCACAGGCGCATTTGGCAGTATATGTTAGGATTCTGAGCGGGCGATGGGTGGAGTGGACGTGGTGATACAAACTCGGTAACGGCGTTCGTGGCGTGCACGCTGCAAATTGGGCCATTTTTTGCGCTTCACGCGGATCGCTGGGGCGAGCAGATATGAGCGAACAGGTATGCGAGGAACATTAAAAAGTAATGCCTACCAACCTAGGGAAGGATTGGCGCCGGCGGGGCTGGCAATGGCGGTCGGGCGGTGGAGATCGAATGGCAACTACCACCCCCCCTTATTTCCGCGGACTTCTGACAAGGAGTGTAGTCTTGGGCGCATATTTTTACGAGCAAAGTAACATACATACTGACCTGAGCAAACACTTAGGTACTTGGCTTTCTCCAGGACTCCAATGTGGTGTAGCCCGCGAAGCCAACCCAATGCCAGGGTCGTCGCACGCATGCCGCCTCCGCTAATGCAAATCGCAAAGGGAGCCTTCTTATCCAAGGGTACTACGGCGAAGTCCGGGTCGTCAACTTCAGGGAAACAGAGGCTGTCATTGGAGCTTCCGACCCAGGTCTTGACCGAAACCGCAGCTTTTGAGCCAGATGCCGACGCAACCTCCTTATTGGACTCAGGGTTAACAGTCACAGATGCTGCGGCGCCCGCAGTTACGGAACCTGAGGGCTTTGAACTCCGGTTGCCCATGACTTTACGCCGGAAGTCCCGACGTTGAGGCTTGATAGAGTATTACCTTCTGCAGCAGGAAGAAACGGTGTCTAATTTTCAGAGTGTACAAAGTTCCGGCTAGAATCCTCAACGCGGTCGACGTAGTTTACCGGTACCTATGGCTAGTAAAGAAAAATCACCCCAGGATGTTCTCCTCCTTTTCTTAAGCCCAATTACATCACTTCGAAACATTGTGCCAATGGATCTGTGTTGCTTACCGTGAACTCTGCCCGATGGTGTAGTAGAGAGTGAAAGCGGGCGTGGAGCTCGTTTGTTGTCGAATCCCCTTCCCAGAGGATTAGAATCTGCTTCTGTAATATTTGCCCGTTTAACTAGCACTATGGGAAGCCTCCTATTTGCCCTGCACTGCCGTCGTACCACCTGGTTCAAGGTGCGAAGATTGAAAGATCGATCGATCCTGCAAAATCACTCTCCCGATAAACGCAGCAACTGAAGGATCGCTGCTATTATTCGGTATGATCTTATAATGTCAAGTGTCCCCCTCACGGTGTTAGGCCGCAGCTTTTGGAAATCCAGTATTCTACTGCTAAACTCACGCCAGTGGGGAAAAAGTACCCCAGTTGCCGCTGCGGTCTATCCTGAATTTATTTATGAGATGGCGTAGCTATGCCGTGGTCCAGCGGCTCCAAACGCAATTGCTCCTCTTTGCGCGGTTCGCCTCGGTCGCAAGAAGTGACACTGCCCGCGCCCCCGCCCTTACGCTGAAGTTTGGCTTATTGCTTGGCGCTAGCTGTGCGATGTCTGCTCGCACTTCGGCAAATGGGTCCCGACCATGATCGCTAATATTGCAGTCCCTAAGCCAGCCGATCCTTCGATTAAGTAATTTATTGGACAAACCTTTTGAGTCTTTTGTTATGCGGTGGATTATAACCCACGATTATAGTCGTCACGAGTTTCAGCGCAGTGTAAACGGTACTTGCATGATGAAATGCGCTTGCCTTACAACATATTCAACATAGCTTTATTAGTCGGCATGCATGAGGGCACGGAAAGCATTCATAATTGGGAAGCGGATCATGTTCGTTGTTGTCTGAGGAAAGTTTTACGAAGACACACGGATACGAAGGCGCTTCTATAAGCTGCCTTTCAGTACAGAACTGTACTCTGTATACAATGACGTGTGCATTTGGTGATGCGTGAGCAGAACGTGCTCGATTTGTTGTCTATGAAATGATGGTCGAAAGGTTGTAAGTTTTCGCCAGTCCGTCAAGTCGTTTTTATACAGAACATGCAAGCAAGCGCTGCGGTGTAAGCGTTTTGTTTTGTCATGGCGATGCCTGGCGCGGAGTTATACTCAAATGTCGGGCACGTTTACGCTTATGGTTCCTTGTAGAGTCCCAAATCATGTTGGTCCCGTGTTTGGGCCCTTACGTACTCTTCGTAGGCTTCCGTCGGCTGTAAGCCGAGTCTGACTCTAGCCCGCCAGGGTTATCACTTTTACCTAGCCGGTAGCTGCACCCGTGGCTTTCCATTACCGGTAGTACAAAAAATATTAAGGTACCAACCCCTATGTTAAACCTGCTGATGTTAAGTAGGTACTTCGACATCTGGGATGCCATCAACCGGTCAGGGACAGTGTGTCTCGCGCGGCTCAGTTTATCTCTTAAACCGTCCTATACGTCTCAACGATGCAAAATCCTCAAGCCACCACAGATCCGGCAGCCAGCGACCAGGACCTGTCTGCTCACGGCTCGGCTAAACCAGCACCGATACCCCCCTCCTCTGCCTCGCTCATCATTTTATGCATCTCCGTGGGTAAGGCAGCTTCCATACTAGTTCCAAAACCAACACGTTATATTAAGTTGAGTGCCCGGTTACGACACCCCGCACCAAGATTGGAAGCACAACGTACAAATGTTGCCGTACGGGGGAGGAGGAACTTCCCTGTGCTGTTAGCGTGTATTGGTGGGATGTTAGCCACATCATAGTCCCATGCAAACACCTAAATACGTTATAAATATCACATATCTTTCATAATCTGCTGAAATGTTGGTAATTTGGACACAACGCTTCTCATACCGTGCCCAGTAAAGCCCGTTCATTGCTAGGACGCCGCAGTTACGGGTGTTCGAATTGCAAGGCCATCCTTTCACATAGTCCTATCGCTACATCGTCACGTTTGACTGCCAATTAGGAATGTACGATTGTCACTCTAGCACATCATGCATCGGCACGCGAGGTTGCTAAGTGATCACGTGCAACGCAGGACATCGATGTACGGCATGTCTTTACCGAGCCCCGAACAAACAACACCATGCAAAACAAACTCTTAAGTGGTCACGTACGGAAGGCTGGGGACACCTCCCTTCACACCCCTACCAATCGCCCCAGGTTGCGGCATCCAGCATCTTCAACAGGGTCTCCCTGCTCCTCACCAGCATGTAGGCTGCGTGGTTGGTCATGAGGCCCACCAGCTCGGGTGTGTAGTCCATGGCAAAGGTGGACACAAGCGGGAACTCCCGGAGCGTGTCGGCGTCGAAGGGGTTAAGCCCCTCCTTGAGCTGTAGGGCGCGAAACACGCATAGGGGTTGCCGTAAGGCCGGCGTCCAACCGTGTGACCCATGGGTCGCAGGGCTACTTTCCGATAGTTGTGGGGTTACATGAGCCATGACACTGGGAGAATGCGAAATTCCAGTCCCTTGCAGCCCATCCGTTGCAATAACGCAATAACACAACGACACATTGCAAAGTCAGATGGGAGTAGTGTACTGCGGTCCACTTTTATAGCAAGCGGCGCTTACCTTTGCTGCCAGCGTGTTTCTGTCATGCTGCAGCCTGTCCCGCGTCTCCTGGGGCAGCGCCGCCTCCCACTGAGACTGCGCCTCATTCACCACCCACATGACCCGCACACGCCAGCCGCCGCGGACTCCCATCGCCGGGTTGTCCAGCACCTGCCGGGGGGACCATGCTTGGTTGCTCAGCAGACCTAGGCATGGCTGTCACTCACCGACCACGCAACCCTCACATGCATTACCACTACTTGCAGCGCATGGGGGTACCTGTATACTGCAATATGTCGTACTACCCAGCCTGCAACGCACCAAGCTTAGCTACACTAACTCGACACATCGCATGCGTTGGTGCCACACACGTCCCATGCTCATGCCGTACGACATACCTCGTACTCCGCGACATGCACCGGCGGCTCCCCGGCCTCCTCCTTGGCCCGCAGCGCCTCGTAAAGCTCCTGGAAGCCCGCACTCGGGAACACCTGTGCTGGGCAGCAGGCGGGTCAAGGGCGGGATGCTAGGTTCCATGCACCGGAGGATTTACAGCAGCAGGGAGTAGAATCCAGGAGGGCATGCGGCAGCAAGACATGTCTACCGGTAGCCCCATGCCCCGGGGAATGTCCCCCCCTGCGTCAGGGCTTGTGTGAGAGCCGGGAGCGAGCATCCCTGGGCTTTCGCGCTCTTCCCCGCCCACTGAAGTCCCTGCGCCCATGTGGGCTGTGTGCTATGTGGGCTGCGCGCCCCACCTGGCGTTGCGCGTTCAGCTGGGGCGGCGGCAGGCCCTGCGTGTCCTTGGGGTCGCCTGGCCAGCAGCCGAACAGCTGCGGGGTGGGTGAGGAGGGTGCATGCGCGGGTGCAGGGTTGGGAGCTGCCTTAGAGTGAAAGCCAGGTGACAAGACGAGAGCGCGACAACACCAAGCGCACCGTCCCTCCAGACACCGTCCCCCTCCCCCTCCACCCACACACCAGTGCCAAATCCCGCATGTACTTCACGAACCGGTCGTAGTTGGCGGTGGAGGTCCTGCGACATCGCAACAGCAGCGGCGGCGGCCGCAGAGGGAGAGAGGAGTGGGACCATATGCGCTTACGTTGCCGTACACCCTTCATCAACGTAAGTCCAACCCCGAGTGTTTTGCAGTTGTTAGTGCGACACTTGCCGGAACTTGCAGCACCATGACTTACCGCGAGGCGGACAGCACCAGCAGGCAGCGCACCCGGCGCCTGAGGGCGGGCAGGATGGCGTGCAGGTCGGTACCGCAGCCGTCCGTGAGGGCCACGGGGCTGCTGGTCCAGTCCTGGCACGGGAGGAGCACAGGTGGAGCAGGTGGGGAGGGGCAGGAGCAGGAGAGGGAGGCGGCGAAGCATATGGCCGGACACACGGAGAGTCGTGCAGCGACTGCGGGTGTGCTCATGGCGGTTGCGGTGGGGCAGGTGGGCTGTTTCCACAAGGTAGCCCACACCCGCTCAAACCCTCTTGGCGCTGGGCTCGTCCACGCTGGGCTCCGCGGTACGTGCCCTCCTCCAGGCCAGCCCACACCCCCCGCGCCGCTCCCCTTCCCTGGCCACCCTGCACCTCTCGAGACTGGGCCCACACCTGCTGGTTGAAGTAGTGGGCGGTGTTGAACCCCAGAGCTCGATGCGCCGCTTTGCCCTTCTCCGTCTTGCCCAGCGCCCACTTGTAGCTGTTGTAGGCGGAGCTGATGCCGATGGCTTCACCCAGGGAGGCTGGACCCATGGGTCGCACGCGCACGACAGTGCTGCCGCCGGGCTCTGGCGGCGCTTCGGGCTGCGGGTGGGGCAGTAGGCATGGAAGACATGTGACATTGCACACTTCTTAGCAGTCAGAAATGCCGTGCGCTGGCTGGCGCTGGCATAAGTATACTCCTAACCAGTCCTTTACTCCTTTTTCAATCCGCGGACTGGCAGAAGCATGTGGAGCAGCGGCGCGCGTCCACTCCCTCCCTCCCCGCCCCCGCACCTTGTCCAGCAGCTGCGCATTGAGCCCCAGCGTCTCCACCCAGCCGCCGCCCAGCTTGGGGTCGGTGGTGCCGTACGGCACCGGGCAGCCGCCGTACAGCGGGGTCCACTCGAAGGGGTAGTACAGCGCGGCATCATTGGGCAGCAGCAACGCCTGCGGGAAAAGATTTCAAAATGTAAACAACTAAATTTTGACAACAAGCCAAGGGTGGCATTCGAAAGAAGGAAACGATAGGCAAAGAAAGGAGTAAAGAAGCCGAAACAGTTATTGGTAGTACCTGGCCTATGATGGGGAAGGGCAGGTCGGGGTTGCTTTGCGTGTACACGGTGCCCCTGCCCGCCTGCCCCGCCCGCTCCGCCACGCTCCGGTGCACCTCCCCGCGTGTGCCGGTGATGGTGACGGTGCTGCTGTCCGTGTTGCCCAGACCAAACGGCTCCAGGAAGGCGCCGGACATGGCGCGAGTCCAGGCACGAGCCTGTTGGGTTAGTTGGATGGTGGGTAACGATAGGTTCTCCCCCATACTGGTTAAGAGTTACAGTCTGTCACCGTAAGGACAGACTGTAACTCTTAAGTCTGTGCCTACAGGCCCTATAGGTGCATGGAGCGATGGAGGTCATGGCGGGGCTGGAGTAATGTCACACGCGCGCCAGGCTGGGAAGGCGAAAAACTCCTCACCATACGAGACAAGCAACCTAGCAGGATACGTTGAACTCCATGCAAATGTCCCCATCCCATTCTCTCTGCCCTTGTGGGCTGCCGTACCGGTGCCCCCCCAGCCAACCCCCACTCCCCCCCAGCCAGCCAGCCAGCCCGGCACCCACCGCGCTCCCATCTGGGTCCTTGCGGAACATCTGCCCCAGCTCGCCCCTGAAGTAGCTGTACAGCGGCGCCGCGTCGGCCACGGCGGCTGGGAAGCTGCGCCGCTTGTCGCCCAACTGTGGGCAAGCGAAGTAAGGGAGAGGGAGTGTGAGAGGGCAGGGTAGCAAGGGAACAGTGTTAGGAAAAAGCATGGGTACCGAATTGTACCGACATACACGGCATATTCTTTCGAAACATACAAGGGGCCCTCCCCCCGCCCCCACCTCCTTGACCGCGTCCAGGGAGCACTGCTCGGGTGGCAGGTAGGGCCCCAGGAACTCGGACACATCGGACACCTGCTGGAAGCTCAGCGCGGCGCCAAGCCAGGAGGAGCCTGGCGGAGATGGTGAAGAAGGGGCAGCAAGGGGCCGGAAGGCGAGGCTGGTAAGGAGAAGGTCAATTCATGTGCGGAAGGGGCCGGTGCAAGGATGGGAGTTGTAGAGGCAGCTGGCGGGCGTGTAAGGCGGTGCTTGTAACGGTGCTGCAGGTTAGAGGATGTGAGCTGGCAGGCTTTGCCAGGAGGCATGCAAGGGCGGGATGGAGGAGCCGCAGTACCTACCGGAGTTTGTGCAAAGGTACTTTGCTTGCTGGAGCAAGCCGAGGGTATGCAAGGCGCGGAGCCATCCGAGTCCCAGGGTCGTAGCTCGGAAGCCGCCTCCGCTGATGCAAATTGCGAATGGAGCTTTAGAATTTAACGCTGGTATAGCAAAGTCTGGGTCGTCGACCTCTGGAAAGCAGAGGTTGTCGTGCGCATTCCCGACCCAAGTTTTGACGAATACCGGAGCCGCTGGCTCTTCGACGGAGACTGACGTGCAACCAGGTTCTGCTCCGCATTGAGTTGTTGCCGGCTGCGCGGTGACCGTAGCTGTGGCACCTGCTGTGGTTAATGCAGCCGACCTGGAGCTGCCACATCCCATAGCGTCTAACTATGACAGGAGATAAACATGCTAGGCGCAACAGTAAGTTGACACAAGTGATCACGATTGACCCTCAGGTCAGCGGGAGTCTAGACGCATAACAGAAGCGACAACATCATAGAAATTGACAAGCGGGCACCAGCAGGTTACTGCAGATACCCGTTATACTGCATAAAGTCCGTGAGTTTAATTCTTAGCAGCTTGCTGGGACAACATTTGTTGCAACGCACGTCCTTAGTTGAAACAATTAATCTTCAACCGTCGCAGTTTCAATGAAACCAAAAAGGGTGCCCCTCCATCACCGAGTGCATCCCTATTTATAGTAGTATATGATAACGCTAAACCCTACAAGTATTAACAATGCGCACACGTTCGCAACTATGGACGTCGGGTTAACCTTCATCATGTACAAGTTATGTTCTTGCGGTCCCTGGAAACCGCGCACCATCATCGCCTGCGCAATATTTTCGCTCCGGTGGAAGAGGTTCCCGAACAGCCTCAACAACAAGCGGCCAGCGATGTTGAGGCTCCCTCCGGTACCCTGCGCCTCCCAGTTGATACCGCGCGCGGCCAGCCCCAAACTCAGGTTGCGTACCTGCAGCGGAATGACCACACGGCCAATATGACACATTTAGCGCACATCAACGATTAGCAGCAGTTACATCAGGACACTGCACTGGCCCCTCCTACCTTTGACGTGCTTTTGACTAGACGCCTTTCATCAGGCACCCTCCCTTACATCAGTTGACATGCCTGAACAGGCCCAACTATCCTACCACAGCCCCTCCCCACTGGCCTGGGGCTGCCAACCCATCCCACTTCCCATTCCCCCTAGCCACGTCCACGCACCTCCTCAAACACCAGCGACATGAACCGCAGCGACAGCAGCAGCGTCATCGCAATCTCCTCCACCGGCACACGCAGCAGCCGCAGCGGAGTGAGGAACCACCGCAGCGCTGCCAGGGCAGGGGCAGGGGCGCAGGGGCACACAACACACAATGCGGGAGTTCAGGAAACGGGAGGAGTTACCGGTATCCTGCCAACAACACGAGGACCCCCAGCTGCCACGCCTTCCACTTTCCTCTTGCATTATTTCCTTCTCATGCATCTCATCCCACCCCACCCACGGCCCCTCCGCACACCGCAGACCCAGCGCGACCCCAGCAACAGGAACCCCATGGAACCACGGCCCCCCTCCCAGCCCCCCCTTAACCGCCACCCCTCACCTATCGCCATCTCCTCCCCCGGCGTGGTGACCAGGCACAGGCTGGCCGTCTGCAGCGCCGCAAAGGTGAGCGAGGCGGCGGTGATGGCCAGGTTGAGCGAGCGGTGCGTGACGGTGATGAAGCCCACGTGCAGCAGCACGTACTGGTAGCTGGTGGGGGGCAGCGGCGGGAGGCCCAGCAGGGAGGGAGGCGGGGAGCGGGCCTGCGCGGTGGCGGCGGGGGGTGGGGCCCAGCATGGAGAGGTAGGGAAGGGAAGGTGGAGGTATTCATGGTGTTAAATGGCGCAGGGGGGCGGTAGGAAAGGCCGGTAGAAACAGCTGGGGAGTTGGGTAGCTCCTAGCATGGTGACCTAGCATGGCAGGTGCTGACGTTGGGCGTAACCTCATCTATGGGGTGCCCGACAGGCGCTGCAATGTAAGTTTGGCATGGCATGTGGATGGACAGCTCGCCCCTTGTTGCAACCACCGTTCGGACCGCACGCCGCATGCGCAGAAAGGCATCGCGCCCCTTGTGTGTTCACCGCGCACGTGCCGACACAGGCCCTAGCCCACCAACTGCAGCGCTGCCCACTCCTACTTCAGCGCTGCTCCCAATCCCACCTGCAGCAGCGCCGGCATGCCGTCCGACAGCAGCAGCGTGGAGGCGAATATGCAGCCGCACAGCAGCCCCAGCCGGCGCAGCTGCGGCACCCACAGCCGCGGCGGGAAGTTGGCGGCTGTGATGGCGGCCACGGTGAGGGAGATGGAGAGGCGGATGGCGGGGGAGGCGCGCGCGATGAGCAGGTAGAGAGCGATCAGCCAGATCTGGCAGCCAGGCGGCAAGTGGGAGGATGGAGGACGGGGAGGAGCAGGGGGGGTTAGAGGAGCAGGGGGAGGCAAGGGTAGGGCCTATGCCGTGGAGGAGGGTGATGAGCTCGTGGCTGGGTGTGGATGTTGGCATGGGCGGAGAGAGCGGTCGCCCGCAGTGCGTGCTTGGGCGTGGAATCTTGGATGCCCCATTCCTGCATGCATGGAGTGTCCCAATACCGCAGCCGCCCATTGGAGCCTGTAGAACACTGGTCTGAGTGTCCTTTGCTGTTGTTGACGGCGCAGCATTAGCAATCTGCCCAGGCATTCTGTTACCAACTGTGTAATGCCCCTATTCCTGTCCAGCGGAACCGGGTTTGTAAATGTCACTGCATGGGCTGTTGGACGCTGGTTGGCCAGCACCCTAGCATAGCCGCTGCCGTACCTGCTTAATGCGGGCATCCACCGTGTGTAGGAAGGTGACCGGGGACGGGACGAAGGAGCTGCGGGGAGGAGACCATGGAGGGACGATCGTTTGGCAAGTCAGTTGGCAAGGCCGGCCTCGGCGGAGAGGATGGATGAAAGCAGGGAGCAACGACCACCCCTAAAGCCTTGGCAACCACACCTATATGGGACGTTTGATACACCCAGTATCCCGGTAAGAATCTGCTGCTGCAGCGGAATCGGTGGTTTAACGTTCTTGCCGCCAGGTCCAGCCGCGCCTGGTGGCGCTCCAGCTCCTAAGCTCGCCGCGCTCGCGCATACAGGAGACCGTCTACTGCAAGCTGGTCGAGCTTGAGGAACAAGCCTTACGGGCGGCGTCGAGCTGCCCCGACTACAACACGGCGAGCAAGCGGGTAAATGGAGGTTGGCAGCGCAGCGAGACATGCTTTTCTAAGCTAATCCTGAGTAAATAATGACAACTTCTGTAAAATCTTGCCGCTTGCTTGGCATAGTATTCGTCGCGCACGATCCAGCATTCACGACAACAGCGTAGAAGGAAAGCCGTTTCCACAGTTTCCCGTCCCAAACTGTCTCTACTGTTTACTTAACTACTCAATATATAAAAAAATCCCACTATCGCTGGAAGGAAGGGCTCTTCGCACTTTGCACCAACCAGCTATCGTTAAACCGCGAAGTTGCCTAGAGCATTGCGAAAGCAACCTAACAACACAATGTCACAACCCAGACGCTAGAAAGCCTCTTGTGAGCACGGCGAGGCCAGCATGTCGGGAGGACGTGACAAGCCTGGGTGCGTGGAGGCCTGTATGGCCGCTCTGCGCACCAAATATCGACCATCTGCATCAGTTCTGGAGGAGTATGGAACCTGGAAGCCACCTAACGAAAATGAGGCTCGGTAAGATGTCGCGTCCCGCGGGGTCCTTAACACATGGGCGCCAAAGAACGCAATACCTTCGAACTAGGGGACATAAACGGCTACAAACCTATGACATGGTGGGGTACATACATGCTGCATGGCTTGACCCCGCTGACGCTTCGTTACCTGAGGTTACAGTGGCAGAGTGGTGACGTATTTTTTGGCGGGTCCCTTCGAATACCGAAAAAGCCCAAACCTGGCCAGGGCCGGGTGGAAATTACCCCACGTCTGGGAACACCACCAAGCCGCTGAATCACCCTGTCACTACCGCTCGCACCCTAAGCAAAGCCCCTTCCCTCTTTCCCTCCCTCGTTCCCCACACCCCCCACGTGCCCCCTCGTGACCCCTCCTCCCACTCGCCACCCTGCAGGGAGAAATTCGTACAAGAGCACACACATCACGAAATCTTCGACATGAAAACACCCATCACCGAGCTGAAGGAGTTCGGCGAGGGCATCCTGCTGTACTTCTACCTCCTCAAGTACACAGCCATGCTGTTTGCTGTGCTGGCAATCTTCCCCGGCATGCTGCTGATGGTGTTCAACGGTCTGGGCGGTTGGTACGACAGAGCGGATATCGAGCGTACGACACTTGGGAATTACGGGTTACTGTCGTACAATGGACGCAGCTCCGAACTCAACATCACCACCTCCGCTGCGGCGCATAGAGGTGAGTGTTGAGGGCCAGGGCAGGGTTGAAAGAGGGAAGGTAATCGCGGTGTCGACGGCCCCATCACACACATGGGGGGACAACTGCATGCACAACATAACTTCATGTTGTGCACGCACTCGTCCCCCCATAGCTCCCACAGCACCCCGCCGCGACAGTTTTGTTTCTTATCTTTACCCACCCCACCCATGCCCCTCCTCCTCCTCCCCCTCCTCCTGCGCCCCACCTCCTGCGCCCCACCCGCCTGCCCCCTCCCTCCTGCCCCCCCCTCCCTGCAGCTGCCTCCTCCGAGGGCGCCGTGACGGCGCTGTTCCAGTCCACCGTCACTGCCACCCCCGCCCACGTGCACGGCATGAACAAGCGCTCGCTGCTGGTGGCCATGACGGTGCTGGACATGCTGGGGTGGGTGGGGGGGGAGGTGTGTGTTAAAGTAACTGGCCGCGAGGCGAAACGTACTGTGATGGGTGTGTGTGGTGGGGTGGTAAAGAGGAAACAACTAACTGACTGAGGGATAAGGCGTCAACGGTCCTTATCCCTCAGTCCTTATCCCTCAGGGAGGGTGGGGGGGAGTCAGGGGGGGATGCAACTGAGCCGCGGTGAAGAGCTGATGACCGTGGATCCGGTAGAAAAGACCTGAGGATGCTGGCGTCCTCCCCCTCCTTCCCTTCCCTCCCCAGCGTCCTGCTGTTCTTCGGCTACTCCGCCTTCATGATTTGGTTTGTGCGCGTCACGGCCCGCGCCGCCGACCGCAACACCACCACCATCAAGGACTACGCGGTGCGGGTGGCGGGGGGGCTGCCGCCGGACACCGGGGAGGAGGCGCTGCAGGAGTACCTGGTGGCAGCGGCGGGGGAGGGGGCGGAGGTGGGGGGGGGGAGGGGGGGGGAAATTATATAAGAAATGCAAACAGCTAAAGTCCCAATCCCATATCCCGACTCATGCAGTGAGTGCATTCAGAGACACTATCCTAGAAACACGCAAAGAAAGGAGGGGGGAGGGGGGATAAATAGCCCTATGTTCTGCATTTGGCTGGATTATAGGGCTGTGTATAGTCATACTTGCTTAGATTAGTAGCAGCAGCCAGAGGGGGGGTGGGGGAAAGGGGTGGGGGAGAGAGTGCGGATGACTGGGCCTGGGAAGTGCCGATAGAGGATGTGTGTGTGGGGGGATACGGTGTTGCTCCTGCTAGGCAACCTGCCCTCTTACTTCCCCTCCCCTCCCCTCCCCTCCCCCACCCATACACACACACAGATTGTGCAGGTGGAGTTGTGTCGCAAGGTGGACTCGCTGCTGGCGCTGGTGCTGGAGCGGGGGGTGGTGGTGCAGCAGCTGGAGCGGGCCAGGGCGGAGCTGCAGCGGACGGCTGAGGTGGGGGAGGGGGAGGGGGACGGGATGGTGGGGACGGGGAGGGGGAGGTGTGCGGGGTTAGGATGACGGTGTGGTGCAAAGGTAAGGAAAGGCGACATGGAAGGTAGGATGAGCCCCGGGTTACGCATCAGGGGTAGCCGGTGCTTCCCAGGCGTCCTGCCCCCCCTGTTTACCCGCCTGTTTCCCTTCTCTCCCCCTCCCCCCCTCCTCCCCAGACCTACCCCAAGGTTCCTGTTGACCTGGAGGTGGAGCTGCTGGCCGCCAAGTTCCGGCTGGACGACCTCAACCAGGCCATCAAGCAGGAGCAGGCGCTGGCGGATAAGCACCAGGTGAGGGGGGGAGGGGGGAGGGAGGGGAGCGAGGGAGGGGCACAGCGCTGGAGGGGAGCAGGAGGGCGTCAAGGGACACACCGGCTTCCAGCCCGATGAAGCCCAGCAGAGTCCACACAGGCGCGATTGGGGGGAAGCCCGGGTGCCAGAGGCGTGTGCCCCCCCCCCTCGCCTGCGTAATGCGGATTCTGTTTCCAAATTACCCCCCTCGCCTACCCAACCCCTCAGTCCAACTGCCTTCCACCTCACTACGGCTTGGTCTATTTTGCCCCGCCTCACTCCCCCCCCCACCCCCCAACCCCCAGGTAGTGACCGCCTTCGTTACGTTCGCCACTGCGGAGGCGCGCTACCGGGCCATGGAGGCCCTGCCGCGCAGCCGCATGCGCCAGCTGCGCATGCCGGCGGACAAGAAGTTCGACAACAAGGGGGTGGGCAGGTGGGTGGGTGGGAAAGAGGAAGGGAGCGGAGGGGGGGAAGCGGGTTGGGCGGGTGGGCGAGATGGAGGGAGGGGGTGTACCGGTAGGTTTGGGTATCCACGGATATGTAGAGTCGGGACATGGGGAAGGGAGGGAGGGATATCTCCGGACGCGGGTCTTTACCGAAACCCCTGCTCTGCTGCCTGCTCACCTGCCCACCTGTCCCCCCTCTTCCCCTTCCCCCCCCCTCCAGGGCCGCCAAGCGCCCCGCCGCGCTGGACGTGTCCGCCGCCCCCGAGCCCTCCGACATCCAGTACGAGAACCTGGAGTACACCAAGCTGCACCGACTTGTGCGCCGGCTGTTCACCAACGCAGGTAGGAGGGGTGGGTGGAGGGGAGGGGGGTTGGGGGGCGCTGTTAGGAGGGGTGGGGCGTAGTTGGGCTTGCTGGCCGTCCAGTGCCTGAGCGCTCCCCAAGCATACTGCAACAGGAGCAGCACCCTTCCCCTCCTCCGTCCCCTCCCAACCATCCCAATCTAGCTAAATGCGGAATATGTATCCCTATTCATCCCAACCACTTCTCCCAACCTCCCCTCCGACCCCACCCCCCCCAGCCAAGTACATCGTCCTCCTGATCGGCTTCCTGCTGGTCAGCCTGGCCCCCGCACTGCGCATGGGGCTGTCCTCGTCGGGATCGGGGCCATCCAAGGCGGCATGCGAGGCCAGCTGCACGTACACGGTACGGTAGTGAAGCAGGGAGTGTACGACATGTGTATGGCATGTGTACGGCATATGGGATTGGGACTCCGTTGCTTCACGTTTCACTTATCCCCCCCCAACCTCCCGCCCCCCAGGACGCCGCCGGCAACTACGTGCTCAGCGACTCCGCGCGCTCGCTCTACAAGGGCTGCGACTCGCAGGCCGGCACCGGCGCCCTACCCAACAAGCTGGACTGCGAGGAGCAGTCGGTGTGCTACGAGTGCTTCTGCCGGGCGGCACTCAGCGGGGGCCTGTACGGCGAGCTGGTGTACTGCAGCCGCTTCAGCTCGGTGGTGGCGGTGGCCACGTCGGCGCAGGTGCTGGCGGTGCTGGGTATTGTGGTGGCCAACGCGATGATCGAGGTGAGGGAGGTGGGAGGTGGGAGGGGCTTGGGGAGGTCGGTAGGGGAGGTGGGGGGTGTGTGGAAAGGGAGGGCTGAGGTGGTTATGAGAGGGTTGCGGTCATCATGTGTGTCTTACGTGTCTCACTGTGTGTTAAGAAAACTCACCCCCTCCCCTCCCCTCCCCCCAGTACGCCATCGGCTGGCTGACCCGCCAAGAGAAGCACCACACGCGCAGTCGGCAGGCGGTCAGCATGGCTCGCGGGCTGTTCATCACGCAGTTCGTGAACACCGCCTTCAGCAACCTGCTGGCTAACCTCTACCTGCCGGGGCCAGCCAAGAGGTGAGGGGGGAGGGGAGATTAAAGAAACTGACGAGGCAATGAACAAGCTGCATGACAAGGCTTCACCATGGGGTGCAAACATGGTGACCGGAGGAAGGGGAAGGAGGGAGTGGTTGGCAGGAGTCGGCAGGCAACATGGAGGAGGAGCTCGGTTCTGTTGTTGCGAGAAATGAAGTAGGGCAAAGAGGCAGTGGTGGAGGAATGGGCAGCACTGGCGGTTTCCAAGCTGGGGACCTCACTCGGGGCACCACCCTCCCCCCCACTGCCCCTCACCTACACCCTGTTAGTCACGCTGGTCTCCGCCCTGCTCCCTTCCTCCGTCCTCTCCTTCCCTCCCTCCCATTTTGGAATTCGCCATACAGCTCGTCAGTTTCTTCTTCTTACCTCTCCAAATTCTTTCCCTTCCTCCCTCCCTCCCCCCCCAGTGTGTCCGGCTCCTTCCTTGCCGGCTACATCTTCGCCGGCTCCTACGCCGACACCACCCCCAACTGGTTCCACGACGTGGGTCGACCCATCGTCATCTCCATCGCAGTCAACACAGCCATCCTGCACATCAAGGTGGGTGGGGGGCGTGTTGGGCAAACTAGCCGCGAGTCGGAAACGCACTGTGTGTGAAAAGCAATATAGCCGTATGTTAAGAAAACTGGCCGCGAGTAGGAGAGAGGCGAGCTGGGGGGCAACAGAGGGGCTAGCCCTTCACCGCTGTGACAAGCAAGGCGGGGAAGAGAGGTCCCCCCCCGGTTGGGATGCGTGTATCCCCTCTCCCTGTCCACTTCCTTTTGCTCCCTGTCACGTCCAGTACCTGAAACCATCGAGCTCCCGGGATGCGGACGCCGCGCCCCCTCCTTCCCCCACCCTTCCCCCCCCTCCCCCATTGCTTTGCCCGAACCTGTGGTTTTCGTGTATCTCTGACCCCCCCTTCCTTTCTTCACCCTCCCTCCCCCCCAGGTGCTGTTCCGGTGGTGGTGGCGGCGGCGCTGCGTGTCCAGCCGCTACCGCTGTCTCACGCAGGCGCAGCTGAACAAGGCGTACTCTGGACACGACTTCGAGCTGTCGCTGAAATACGGTGAGGAGGGAGGGGAGGGGAAGGAGGGGGGAGGCAGGAGGGCAGGAGGAGGAGGAGCTGAGGAGCCCCCAAAAAGACCAAACAATAATATAGGGCACCGCCATTAAGGGCAAAGCAGTGGGGGAATGAAGGGCTGGGGGGGGAGGGGGTGTCAGCCGGAAATGTTGGGTTGACAGGATACCGAGAGATTAGGATACACGCGGTGCGCACCTCATGTGTCCCCAGCACACGTGTCGCCACCCTCTGCCTGCACTGTGAGCCTTGTACGGGTTGCCGTCCCCTTGCGCATGACGTCCCCCCTGCTGCCCCGGCTGCCCTGCTGCCGTGTGTTGCTAACGCGCGCTGCCCCCCCCGCCCCCCCCCCTCTCTCCCCCCAGGCCAGCACCTGTACGTGTTGTTCGTGGTGATGACCTACTCGGGCGGCATGCCGGTGATGTACCTGCTGGCCGCAGTGCACTTCGCCTCCGCATACTGGAGCGAGAAGTTCGAACTGCTGAGGGTGTGCAAGGTGGGGTGGGGGGGGGTGGGATGGTGGGGGGGGTGCATACACCTGGGACACACACGTTTCGCCTCGCGGCCAGTTATTTTAACGTACGCTATGGTACACTCGGTGTACATAGAAGTCCTGGCAAGCTAGCAAGCTCTGCTAGCTGTATGTCGTCGACATGGTTGTATGTTTGGGATGCAGGGTCGGGGATGCAGGGTCGGGGATGCAGGGTCGGGGATGCAGGGTCAGGGATGCAGGGTCGGGGATGCAGAGCCCACCTCCCTGCTTTCCAACCCCCAACCCCCAACCCACCTCAACTCCACCCAAACCACGCTCCCCACCCACCCGCCCGCCCCTACTGCTTCCCTCTATCCCCATTGCTTTGCCCTAACCTGTGGATCCGGTATACTCCCGCCCCCGTCACCCTCCCCCCTCCGCCTCCCCTCCCCCCCAGCGCCCGCTCGCCTACTCCCGCGACCTGGCCGACTACGTGAGCACCACCATCCCCTTCGCCGCGCTGTGGCACCTCACGCTGGCCACCTGGATGTACGGGCTGTTCGGGTCGCCCAAGAGCGCGCTCATCAGCAGCACCTTCAGAAGGGGGCTGGAGTCGGTCATGAAGACGTTCAAGGTGGGGGGGGGGGGGCAGGGGGCAGGGAGAGCGGGGAGGTAGGGGTTGGGAGGGGGGGAGGCTGGGGTGTGTGCAAAAGGGAGGAACCTGACCAGCTGTATGGTAGGAGGGGGGGTTGCAAGGTGCAGAGGGACGGTGATGTGAGGCATCCTGATGGTGTGTGTAGGCGGAGGGGTAGGCCGCGAGGCACCGTGATGGTGCTCTCTCGCTGTCCTCCCATGTCCGGTGACATGGCTCACCAGGTACTTGCTGGCTTGGCCTCCCATCCACCTGCATGATGCAACCCATGGCGGTTGTGGCCTTGTCAGTTGGCACACGCTTAGTTGGCTTCTTAGCCCCCTCCCACCTCCCTTCCCTCCCACCCCTCCCACCTCCCTCCCCTTCTCCCCCTCCCACCCCTCCCACCTCCCACCCCTCCCGCCCCCACCTCCCCAGGGCCTGATGGCCTCCGCCAGCACCCTCACCCCGGCGCTGGTGGCGTGGCGCTTCATCGAGAACAGCACCGCGCACCTCTTCATCGCGCTCATAGCCTGCTCGGGGGCGCTGTTCGTGTTCTTCACGCTGTCGGGCTGGCTGGCGGTGCGTGCGTGCGGGGGGGGCTGGGGTTTGGGGGGTTGGGAGGGGGATGGGGGGGGGGTAGGGGGGTTGGGGGGGGATGGCGACTGGAAGCGGGGAGTGTGCGTGGGGTTGGGAAGTGGCCCATGAAGATAGGGTCACTCTACACTGCTTTCTCTTGTCTTTTGATTGAGCAAACCACGCTTGTCCTCCCTTTCACCTTGCGCTGGCCATTGCCAGCCTCAGATTTTCCCTCCCTTACCTCTTCTTCCCTCCTCCTTTCCCTCCCTCTGCCCTTCCTCCTCCCCCCTCCTCCCCCCCCCCTCCCCTCCCCAGGCCATGCGCTGGTTCGCCTCCTCGCTGGGTCTCACCAAGGACAGCGGCACCCGAGGGGAGGTGGAGTACACCTCCGTGCCCGAGTTCGGAGTGGCGGTGCGCAGCCAGCTGCTGCTGGGGCCCGCCACCTACAGCGTGCAGCAGAACCCCATGTACGCACACGCGTTCGTGCGCATGGACGACTTCGACTGGGGCGCCGACCCGCGGGGCTTCACCACCCGGGCTTTCCAACAGCAGCAGCAGGCGGAGGCTGGGGATGCGGCGCAGGGGATGGGAGGGGGAGGAGGAGAGGGAGGAGGGAGTGGGACTGGGAGGCAGAGTAAGAGGAAGCGTACGGCGGCGGGGAGGTTGAGGGCGAAGAGGCAGGCGGAGGCGGCTGCGGCGGCGGGTTGGGCGGCGGAGGAGAGGGTGAATAACAGGTACCCGCCGGCGTTGGGGGTGGCACCGGCGCTGCCGTCATTTGGAAGGAATAAGGTGGCGCCGGTGCCGCTGTCACCGTAAGGGACGACGGCACGCGAGGGGCGTGTGACAGGGCTTGGAGGTGCACGGAGGGGTGGGGGGCGGAGGTGGCACCACAGGGCTGCTCAGCGCTGTTGTGCTTTGGGACTGTTGGAAGAGGAGAGAGGGCCAGGAAGGAACTCCCCAGCAGTAGCCATGGTGGTGCTGCTGCTGTTGGTGTGAGTAGTCCCTCCTGTAATCAAAACGTATGGAATAAAGATGTCTCGGCATTGTGTAGACGTGAAGGCGCGGAAAGGAACGGCTGGTTGTAGAAACAAGGTACTTATCGGTTACATTATCGGCTTTGCAGGATTCGTGTCTGAATTGGTGGCGGATCAGAGGCGGTGGAACTGTTGCGATGTGATGTGATCTCCGCATGCGCTGGCGTACGGCAGTTAGGACGTTGTACGCGGTGTACGGCAGTAACAGCTATGTAGGTCGTGATTTCCTGCCTTGTCTTCCCTTCCTCGTGATCGTGATACGGCTATTCGGAACTGAGTTGCGATGATGTGGTGATTGCTGCTCTGACATTCGTGACATGGATTGAACCGTATTTGAAACTAGGTCATGGAACTTGAGATCATTATGAAGACTCCTAATAAGAGATCAACTGGTTTTAGGAGTTATTACGTCATGCTACTGGGCCTTTCGTATTGTTCATGCGTTCAGGACATGTGTGGTTGCGGTGCGTGCGTGGGTGGGTAGGTGCGCATTGGGCGCCGCATCAGTCATCATGCCACCAGATGAGCTGGCTGCCTCCTCTGGCAGGGAGCTGCCCTCCCGGGGTCGGATTGCACACGGTGTGCATGCATGCAGCATGCTTGGTTAGCAGTGGTGTCGGGTCGGTTAACTTGGGGCGGGATGAGCTGATAGCGCGTGCTAACGCCGCCGGTTTGCGTGTTCGCGATCTTGCTATCGAATATGAAGTGTATTACTTCCCCGACCTTTCCGGAGGGTATTGTTACCGGTAGGCGACAAGGCAGTTGTACGAAGCGAGTGATTACATTTCTTCCTTGAGTCCGTGTCAACGTCAGGGTTCGGAGCTGCTGCTGTGCTGTCCGATGGTACGCTAGGACACATGCAGCCGTGCTGCCTCGGGCGCTGTCTGCAGAGCGAGGGAGAATGCCTGCAGGGGCGTGCGTTGAGGGCAGGCAGCCATGTCTTCCGCACGGGCACCTCTCCGAGGGTTGCAATGGACTACAGCAGTGACGTGAAGATTGTTGGTTTAGGAGACCGGGGGCCTCGGTACGTAACAACACCTCGAAGGATGATTGGCGTGCTTTTCTGCCGTAGGAAGCTTGGACAAGGATGAATGGAAATATTGGTGATCAATGCTGGACTCAATTGCACTGTCTTGTTCACTGTCGTTACGGTATTTGGGACCGCAGGCGTTAGAGCGATGACGGTTGGATTGGAGTAGGGGCCTTATAATTGCTGTTGAGCTTGGCATCTTACACCAGGGTGCCAGGAGGTGCCAGGAGGCAGTATTGGGATGCTATTTCACTCTCGGAGGAGGCCGAAGCATGCAAGGTGTGCATGCCCTGTACTCGCAGTGATTAGTTGTGAAGGTACGAGGTCCGCTGTTCTTGTGGAAAGTGACAGGCAACCTGAGTTAGGTATGGGGCATGTGTCATGCCAGCAGCACTCCTAAACTGCATCGCCGCTCTGCCATGTGGGAGTGAATCAACGGGAGCTGGGAGCTGTTTCTTTCCTTCCTGTGGATCTTACTCTTAAGCAACAGTGGATAGTGATTGATATGTTGGCAGGGAACATGGGGGGCTGTTAGTGGATGGCCTTGCCCCTCAAATGCACCCACCGGTATTGCCGCACTCAATTGTTGTACACACACATCCAATTTGAAGTGAACTGATGTCCCGAGAGTGACTCTGTTGGCACGCCTGGGTCCTCCGCGGGTGGTGCCGTGCTGCCATGGACGTTGCTGGTGTGCTGCATAAGGCAGCTTAACGTGTATAATATATTATCCTGAACGTCAATTATGAGATCCATTAAAGAGTTGTTTCTTTCCTTGCGGCGGGAAGGTACGGTAAGTGTGCAAAATGCCGAACCCAACCTACCCAACTGACCCAGCAGCAGCTCTACATGAACTGTAGATGCACGCATGCAAGCTGGTAGGAGGCGGGGCAGTCGTGGGCGGGGTCTGTGCACCTCCGTTACAGGCTGCATGACACACGGGTGTGCATGCCCCGCTTCCCTGTACTCGCGCACGGGCAATGCACAGCCCCCGGCATCAGATTAGGACTCTCATGACTCGGCCGAATGTTGGTGGCTGCTCCTGCAGATGGCGCCCATGTACCAATACAGCACCTCCCACCATTAGAGGTGTAACTGGTGTTTGGGTTCAGCACACAGCCCACAGCCCCCTCCTCCCCAGCGCTCCTGACAGCACTACCGTTACGATCCTGCCACCTACACTCCCCTGGCCGCTGCCCATCACAGACCTTACAGCACCCCCGCCCTCCATCGCCGTGTGTGTAGTTGAGTAGGACAAGAGCAGGCAATTGGGAGAGGTTCGCATGTGAACCGCGAGTACAGGCAAAACAGAGGTAACCAAACCTGAAACGTAACTCCATCGCGGTGTGTGTGTGTGTGCGCACGTCACCAACCCCACACCGCCCCCGCACTTAGATCATATCGTTTCCCCCCCCCTCCTTCCCACAGGGTCCTACGTCACAGCTATTAACCACACCAATCATACCCGTGGTTTCTTTCTGGGCATGTTGCTCATACTCATGTGCCCACCTCCTCCCCCACCTCCTGCTGCTGCTGCTGCTGCTGCTCCTCGCATTCCCCCCGCCCGCCCCCCTGCTGCTGCACCTCCCACCCCCGCTGCCCCACCTCCCGCCCCTGCCGCCCTGCCCCGAGCCCATTGGAAGAACTCGCAGCGGCCGTTGGGTGGCAGCCCGTCGGGCCGCGCGCAGCACCAGAACTGCCGACCGTTGTTTTCGCCCTTCTTCCTAACGGTGCGTACGACACACGGCTCTCCGTGGCCGCTGCACCTGCGGGGTGGGGGGTGGGAGCAGGAACAGGAGCAGGAAAACCGGTAGGAATGGACGGTTCGGTTCGGGTAACACGACAGTTGATTACGAGGGGTCATCTTCGTAAGGTGAGGGTACCGTAGTCAGGTGTGTGTGGGATCGTGCAGGTGCGCGTTACGCCGTGTGTTACAATCGACACACGTGCTTGCACCTCCTCACCCCTCCCCACCTGGGCGGTTTCAACTGGTCCTGTATTTGCCGCCAGGCCAGCGCCGCCTGTGAGCGGGATGGCGCCTCCTGGGCGGGAGGGGGCCGCCCCAGCTCCCCAGCCGCCTGCCGGTCTGCTGCCACCCCTGCTGCTGCCTGACCCTGTAGCTCCTCCCCTCCGGCAGGCAGCTCCCCCTCGTAGCAGGCCTCTCCCCCACGGGCTTCAGCGCCCGCAGCTGTGAAGAAGTCATCACAGCAGCCCTGACCCCCCGGGGCGTCGTAGCAGTGCGGCTGTTGGTGCTGCTGCGGCGAGGGGTCAGAGCTGTGGATGACGAGAGGTGCGGACCCCGGCTCGTCGCAATTACCGCTGCTGTTGCCCTCGCCGCTTGCAAAGCCCATCGGATCATTGCCACCCCCGCTAACAACCGAGCCGCCACCGAACCTGCAGCCGCCGTTGCTCTGAGCAGCAGCTGCCTCCGCCACTGCTGCCGGCGTTGGCACCTCCGCCACAGTAGCAGTCGAGCCCGTCGTTGTTGTCCCCTCATGTCGCGGTCGCATGAACGCTGTTAGCTTCCGCTGACCACCGGCACCAGCCGCAGCTGCTGCTGCTGCTGTGCCCCCCTTCCCGCCGCCTGCCCGTTTCCCCAGCAGCGAAGCAGACCCGCCGGTACCTGCAGGTGCGCGTACAGCTCCGAATACCCCCGCTGCCCCCGCTGCTGCAGCTACTGCCGGCGTTGCCGTCACCGTACCTGCCAGCACCTCCGTCATAGCGGAGGCTGCTCGCGCCGCCCCAGTCACTGCCGCTGCCGCCGACCCTCTGTCAGCAGCTTGCGTTGGAAGGCTGCAGCGGCCCGCCGCTACCGCTGCCTCCATGCCTATACCAGCACCGGGAGCAGCACATGTCGTACCACCTCCTCCCACTGCTGCCGTACTTCTCTTCGCGAGGCAGTCCAGCAGCGTCGCTTGCCGGCTGGAGTCAAACAAGCTGCGGCTGCTGACGGGCAGTGGCGGCGGCAGGGTTGATGACCCGTGGGTCGGCTGCGTCAACAGGTGTTCCGGCAGGTCTAGTTCCACCCAGGCAGGCGCGTGGTCGCTGCCCTCCCTCTCCGGCTGGATGTCCTGTACGCGGGTGGCGGGGTGTCACATTGGGGAATAAGAACATATGGCCGTGTTGAGAAAGGAAGAAGGGGCGAGGTAAAGAAACAAGTCGCAAGTCACCTTGCTGCGTTTCGAGTAGTCCAGTCCCTAGCCTCTTCAGGCTGCTCCAGAGCTGCAATCATAGGTAGGTAGCAACATACATAGCAACATACAATGCAAGTCACGCAACCTAACAACCCAATCATGAGTCCGCCGGCACCCGACCCACAGCTTCCCAACTCCCGTACGCCCCATGTAGTGTCCCTCACCGCCGCCACCACCCACGCAGGGCAGTACACGCTGCTGCTCCCCTCCGCCGCTGCCGCCGCCGCCGCCGCCAGTCCCTCCGCGCTGCCGTCTGCTGCCAGGATGTGGTCGATACGCGAGCCGTAGTTGTTGATCCGGGCGCCGGTGGAGGTGTTCCAGCAGGTGTAGGCGTGGCGCCTGGCGGGGGGGGGGGAGTTGGGGAGGTTGGGAGGGGGTCAGATGTGTACCAAAATCACAGGTTAGGGTAAAGCAATGGAGATAGAGGAGGAGGAGGAGGAGGAGGAGGAGGGGGGAGACGTAGGAGCCGGGGCGCATGGGCACGTCTGCCTACACATCTTCCTTGCAAAAGGGGCATCAACAGCGTGTCACAGCGCAGCAGCGGCACTACAGCTATAGCAAGCGGCGTGTGAAGGCGGTGCAGCAGCGTTGTACGCGGCGGGCTGTGTCTGTGTTTTACGGCTGGAAGTTTGTGGCCTAGAGATGCGGTGGCTGCGATCACCGCGCATGCACCGGTATGCACCGCGCATGCACCGGTATGGAAAGCGCCGAAACGCCGTTTCTTTATACCTTTCTTGCTACTTCAAACTCTCAAGCACCCGCACTCGTCGACCCGCATGGCTCACCTGTTCGGGTGGAAGGCTCGGAACGTGTCCACAAACGGCGCCAACGCCCCTCCCCCGCCTCCGCTTCCTCCTCCTCTCCCCATACCCCCACCCCCTCCTCCACTCCACCACCTCCCCCCCGCTGCTTCCTCCTCCCCCTCCCCCCCCTCCTCAACCTCACGCTCCCCATCGCCCCCACCACCATACCGCTCACCCACGCCTCCCGGAATCCCCCCGCTTCCCCCCGGCCCCGCCCTCCTCCCCCTCCCGCGCGTCATCAGCCCCCTCAACCACGCCCGGTCCGCCCTGTCCGCCTCAAATTCCCCCGCCCCCGCCCCCGCCACATCCCAGCGGCTGGGCGCTATGTTGAGGTCCCCGGCCAACAACACCCGGTGCCCGTACGACAGCAGCGAGTCCAGCCGGAGCTGCAGGGCCTGGGGGGGGGGGGCAAGGGGGGGCGGGGGGAGGGGGGAGTTAGGCAGCAGGAGGGCGGGAGGGCGGGACCCACATAGCCGCTCATAACATCGTTCGGGCGCCGGCCCTGCTCGACCGCATGTCCAGTACGCACCACCCACACGCACGCACCCACGCACCCGGTAGAAGGCCATTTTGAAGGCTCCTCGCTCCTCCGCCCTCTCCTCGCTGGTAATCGCCGGACCATACACATTCACCAGCACCAGGCCCCCGCCGCCGCCTCCCCCTCCTCCGCCTGCGCTGCCCCCGCCGCCTCCTCCCTCTGCCGTCCCTGCCGCTGGAGCCCCGTGGAAGGTGATCACCACCCGGCCCTCGCCGTCCAGCAGCTTCAGCTGCTCGGGTGTGTAGCCCGCTGCAGCCCAGTCGGGTTGGAGGTACGGCTGCTGCCGCCCTTGCGGCTGCCCTTGCTGCCCTTGCGGCTGCCCTTGCTGTGATGTTAAGGATGAGGGTGATGGTGCCGCGGGTGGGGGCATCAGGACGCCGCTGAACCCCTCCTCCGCATGGTACGGCAGGGTCGCGGAGCGGCGGCAGAAGGTGGCCACCCCCGAGTAGCCGCTCTTGACGCGAGAGAAGGAGAAGAAGGACTCCCTGGTAAGTGGGATGTGGGGGCGGGAGGGCCGAGAGTTTGGCACTGCGACCGGAGCTGTAGGGGCGAGGAGAGGAAGCGTCCGAAAACTTTGCAGTACGCATGTGACAGCCCCAACCCCCATCGCTCATCATCCCTCGCACCCGCCCCTCCCTTCCCTTCCCTCCCTCTTAATCCCCACCCGCCCCCCTCACCACCCCTCCACCAGCGCCAGCTCCCTCCGCAGCTCCCCGCGCCCCAGCTTGGTCTCCTGCAGGCACACCACATCCGCCCCCTCCAGCGACCCCAGCAGAGCCGCCAGGCTGCCGGTGCCGCCCACCATGCGGCGCAGGCCGTTGATGTTCCAGGTAACCACTCGCAGCCGCATGGAGGGGGCGGAAGAAGAAGAAGAAGGAGAAGAAGAAGAAGAAGAAGGAGGAAGAGAAGGAGGAGAAGAAGGAGGAGGAGGGCGTGTGCTCTGATGCTGCAGTAGTGGGGGTGCGGGGGTGGAAGAAGTGTAGTACAGCGTTTGGGGGTGGCAGTGCAGGTGCTGCTGCTGCTAAGGAGGCTGCTGCCGTCACCGTGCTGGCGCTCCTGTTCAGAAGGGTGCTGCTGCTATGCTGAGGCGCATGTGGCAATGTCAAAGTGTTGACACAAAGGAGAGGGACTGCGGAAACTGCTGGCGAGAGGAGGAGGTAAGGAAAAGGAGGGCCACGGTATGTTCGCGACTGCAGTGGAGG